CCCCGACGATGTCGTTATAGAGATGCTGCACTGTATAATATTACTATAAGAAAACGAAACTGCATTAAAAAGTGTCAGCCAGTAGCCAAGAAATCGAGGGACACTGTTTGTATTTCATGTATTTAGATATGAACTGTACGCCTTATTATGCCTTTATGTTATAGTACCTAAAACTTTTAGCAATACGCTCATTCAACAGGCAATGTGTTACATAAGAAGTCCTACCTAAAGCAGCCCAAAAGACGGTCATCAAACTCGTTGTGTGTACATGGCATGGCAGAGTAATGGACTAAACTACTTGTTCTATGTATTTGTGCGATCCAGACTGCCTGGGGTATCAGAGGCGGCCTCTTGGACGACGTTGATAGACCGAAAGGAGCCTAAACCTGAATTGTAATATGTGCGTATATTATTCTTTGACTCTGTCCAAAAACACTAAAGTCTTTCCGAGACAGAAACTCAGCTTTCAAAACCGTCTTAAAGGATGAGGCCAGGACTTGGCTAAGGGACTTGTACTTCATCACTTTTATCTCACTTCTCACGGTGATACGCTCCGGGGTCTGTACTACGTGTATGTTACTGTTAGTGTTATTGCTTTTGTTGGGTTTTTTTGTTTTTTTTGGTTTTTTCCCTTCCCTGTACAATTTGTACAGTCGCGTAGAGACACGTCTTTATCCCTATATTATATTTTATTACCCATGTCAAATGAACTACTTTATCCATACCCGGCTTTATCATGACCATTTTATTTCACTTGAACTCAACAATGTTTGTGAACCTTACAAAATAAATGTAATTTGGTAAAATACCTGCATTTTTGTCCCTGAGCTTGAAGGAATAAATATGCATTGTGTCTGATTTTGATTCTTGTGTAGTAAAGAGGCAAGCGCCGGAACACAGCAAATCTCACACAACTAGCCATACAGCTAAGAGTTTTACTGCACTTGCAAAACAATTAGGTTATAAAAGTGCAGAAGATTAGAAATGAAATTACATAGGTTTAACGCCCATGTCAACACTATCATAAGGTTATTTAAAAGAAGGGACCTCCGAGTTTACCTGGAGAAGAATCAGAGAAATCGATGTACACAGAAAAGTGGGAAGACATGGAATAACACCAAGAGGCTAGCCCAGGATAGAGAAAGGTGGAAAGTGTTTTTCCGTGGCTTATACTCTGGTGCAGGGTAAGAAAGGCAATGATGATGACCTCCGAGTTTAACATTCCATCTCTGAAAGAACTGAGCCAAATGGGAAATTCGTGTGAAGTGGCTATCCCAAGGACACAACGTCGGACCGAGCTGAGGCTCGAACCCTCGAACCCGCAATCTCACGATTACGAGTCGGGTAGCCTAACCACTAGGCTACCAAACGCGACCTCGAAGACTAGAGGTGTTACAAGAGAGTAACAAACCCTAAAAAGGGGAGGAGAGATAAGGGCGATGAATATTTTGATAGGAAAGAAGGGGCAAATCGCACCAGAGCAATCACAAACCAGCCATACAGAACACTCCTGTAGCTCGCCTAGCTCGCACCGTGTAAATGAACGTACACGTTATCGTGTGCTTGAGCAGCGTCCCTGTGTGGTCTGTCTGTTGTCAGCTGAGCTGCGCGACACGTCAGACAGTGTTGTAAAACACGTCTGACATGTCTAGCACGTAGCCTCACTTCGTGTTTATTTTCGACCGGCCTTAGACAACCGACCAGCCATACAACGCACAACCAGCCATACAGCGAACATATTGATTTGTCTGGAGAATTTTCAAGGCTTACCATCTACTTGGCACAGTCATAATATATTGAAGATGGAAGATAAACTCAGAAGTTCAGTATCTTAAACTTAAAGACCTACAGCTTTTAAAGAGGAAATAAACCCACGGTATTCAGAGTCAGTTTATCGTTAAAGCATACTGTGCGACTACAACATGAAATTCCTGTTACCGTGTCACAAAAGGACTTCATTTTTTATATGTTCAATTTTTTCAAGTAACTTTCCTGCCCTGAAATCTGCTACTTGTAACAGGAAGCAATTCTCTTTTTTTTTGTTGTTTTTTTTTGGTTCGTGTTTTACGGCGCTTGCAACTGCATAAGGTCATACATATGAGCGCACGGGACACATTACTTTAGTTTTAGAAAGTGTTTTACGGTATTTGAAACACAATAAGGTCATATAAGTGCCGAAGATTAGAGGTGCTACAAGAGAGTAACAAACACAAAAAAGAAGGAGGGGAGATAGAGACGATATTTTTTCTTCTATAGGAAAGTAGGAGCAAACCACACCAGAGCACCCGCCAACCACCCACGCGGGACACATTAAACATTAAAGTTGATAAGAAATTTTAAATTTTGCCCGGGTGGCGGCTGAAGCCTACTCTTATCGATTTTAGACCACCAAGGGATCTTTAACGTGCGCTAGGTGTAGATCTTTCCTGCTAGAAGATCAGGGGTGTGGCTGAAAGACAGCAGTAAGAAGGAGCCAAGGAGTAGCAGTAGAAAGGTTGCAGAAAGAGTCAAGAGCCCAGAGGAGGGAGCAAAGGAGGTCAGGGGGAGAGGGCAGAAAGTGGAGGCGAAAGCAGACGACAGAACATTGCTAGAGAGCAAAGCTACTCGTAGGAAAGGAGGTGAGAGGAGACAATTTTAGAGAATAAAATGTTTCCGTCGCTACCGGGATTCGAACCTTTGAATGCGAGGCGAACACCTTAGCCTCTAGGCCACGAGAACACCCCCAGCAATTCTCTGGTCTCATGACAATTGACATTCGTGTTGTCACAGTCAGCTTGTGAAGTGACAGTCAGGCTCTTGTCATAGCACACAAAGACCTGAGTTCAATTCCCCTCCGGCGGTTACAACGAATCATACCAGCGTCCGGCGTGTAGTAGTTGAGCACTTCAACGTCCAACACAGAACAGAAGTCTTTGTTTGTTTTAGTAGAGGTTTTACGGCGCTCGCAACTGCATAAGGTCGTATGAGCGCCAGAAGATTTATTATTATTCATTATAGTAGAGGGTTTTACGACGCTCGCAACTGCATAAGGTCATATGAGCGCCAAGGGGTGGGTGTCAACAGAGAAGTCTTTACAGGGAATCAGACTTAGAATGCTCACCTCTCTAGCTTGAACAGCACAAGGTCTGCTTCGACTATCAAGGCACCCCGGAAATAGCAGGTCACAAGAGAGTGACAAACATACAAAAGAAGTAGAGGAAAATGACAATAGTAAGGATCAGGAAAGAAAAAGCAGCAGTTCCCTGTTGTAGATCAGGCACAGTTATGATCGTGACATGAGTCAGCCCATTTACAATTTTACTATGCTTGAACGAGAAATGTCCCCCCTTTGGGAATGGCCTAAAGACACTACAGTCAGCGGCACTGCCCCGGGGGGGTTCGCCAGAAGATTAAAGGTGTTACAAGAGAGTAACACACATAAAAAAGGAGGAGAGATAAGGACGATAGATGTTTGATAGGAAAGAAGAAGCAAACCACACCAGAGCTCCTGCCAACCACCCACAACAGAAGTATGAGTTCAATTTCCATGCAAGGAGAATATTTAGCAAGTTTCTTGTCTTTCTGCAGGAACGCTGTACCCTCTCATCCCAGGTTGTCCCCGACAGGCACGATCAAACCCGCCTTCTATTTGATCTAAATTGTGTCGATGGGGGCATGACCCCTACATTATTTTTTCTTCTAAATATTGAAACGATTCATAAAGTGTCTAGAGCTTTCTGCAGGGATGTGCCCCACATGACTCGTGCAGGCTCTAGGTGGCAGACGGCATCAAAGCAGCCTACTTCCTAAATGAGAAAAGGCGAGATGATGCAGTGTCTTTTGTAATGTGTAAAATTAAGCATATACACACAATAACTACTATTAAGTTTAGGGAAAAATCAGTACAGTTGAACTCGGATTTAACGAGCTCGGATTCAACGAGAACTCAGATTCAACGAAATGAGATAGATTCCCCGTTTTTGTCCTCTAAAATCAATAAAAGTAACCCGGGTACAACGAGCACTTAAACCAGCGAGCTCGGATTCAACGAGGTCGCTTCCAGGGTGATCAGCCCCCGCAGACGTGGCTTCGCTAATTTTTCTCCCAGAACAAACTTTATATATTCCCAGAAACCATCCATTGCACCTGCATCGTGAACCATTATTCACTTAGTCGATTGCATGCGACCAATCAGCGGCCTTTTTAAATACCAACACATGTGTTGCTGGCACACCTACGTGTCTACTCTGGCGTGTGTCGGGGTCGGATGGGCGGCCTGCACACGTGTGGCTGTGTGTGCGTGTCGGGGAGGGGAGGGGAGGGGGGGGGGGGCACTAGTGGTCCGGTCTTTGAATGTCGCATATACAAATGCGTCAGTCTTTTTCCCCCCGGCAACTGATCATTATTACAATAATAAGCTAGTCTTGACGTAGATCTACGTAAAGAATTGTGCGCTGGTCTATGGAATCAAAAGTTGCCGTATGCTCGGCTCAACACAGCAACACAACTTTTTCTTGGTAAACAATTGAGATGACACAGGCTTGTGTATTTGAACGAATGGGTCTTTTTTTTTTACACAGCTCATAATATGCAGGCATTTCAGGCACCACTTGTTACTTCTCTTTATACATTACTTGCTCAGTGCCTGTCATTATCTACACAAAACCTCGCGTTTGCTATAACGAACACTCTGATTCAACGAAATTTTAGGTCAGGCCCAACGACCCCGTTGAATCCGAGTTCCACTGTATAGACAGACAAACAGCAGAGAAAGAGAAAAGAAGTAAGACCAGTGGCACTTTCCAACCACTCTGTTTTAGTAAGAGTTTGATGGCACTTGCAACACAATTAGCTCTAGGTCATATAAAGTGCCAAAGATTAGAAGTGTCACAACAGTGTAACAAACACAAAAAAGGAAAAGAGTTATGTACGATGGATGTTTGACAGAAAAGAAGGAGCAAACCACATCAGAGCACTTGCCGACCACTCAATTTTTGGAGGAGTAAAACACTGACAAACAATTGTAGTCCAGGAAGAAAAGTTTATTGAGTACTACAAGGGTACACAAGGAAACACCGCACACCAAACAGTGAGAAGAAACAAGTAGCCTTTCTGTAGAAGGTAACAAACGAACAAAGAAATGAGAGCAGAAACCTTTGGGTACAAACAAATGAAATGTTTCGAGATCTATAAAAGAACTCTATAAATAGCCATCTGTGGCTGCACGGGTGGAACAACCTTCCACTTCTCCGTTTGACATTTAGCATAGTCTTTCTGAAAAATGGGAATGACAAAGAGTCAAAGAAAGAACTTTATGATTTGAAAAAAAAAGGTACCAGCATATCCATCATAAGCCCAAGGAAAGAATTAAAAAAAAACCCAAGGCAGATTACATTTATACAATATAAAGAAGACCAGTTAAGGAAAATAAGCATACTGGATGAACATCAATCTAATGATGGTTCAGTACTCTAAGAAAAAAAAACCCCATTAACCCTTAAAACCCTGAGCTTTTTTTTTCCTACCTCCTTAGAATCCTGAATTAAAATGGAGGCAATAGAAAAAAATAAGGTTGTTTTATTGGTTGGCTTACTGTGTCTTTAATTGTTGTCAGATTTTACTGAAATTTGAATATGTTGCGTATAATATGTGAATGCACATTCTGGACAAAAGGGGGAAAAGTTAAAACACTGGTTTTTAGGACCAACTATATGAGTAAAGTCTTGTGTGTGATCCCTGACTTCACTAGAGTCAAAGCATCATTAGACCCAGCCGTAGATCTAGCCTCTGATAGCTCAGATGGTGATCCCCTACCACTTCCACTAAAAATCATTATCAATATTATATGAGACATTGCAATCGTCTTCAGCCGTCAAATCTATTGATATATTCGACTTCGAATCATAATCTGGGTCTGATTCAGGATTTAAAAATGTCAAAAATATTGCAGACTGATGCGCCTAGCAGTGAAAGGTCACTCATTAAAAAAAAAAACTACCAAAAATTTCAAACTTTTGGTGTAGAACTGCTTTTAGGACATTATCAATACTTTCTGCTCACGACAGTCATCTGGAGTTAGGCTACACCCCTGTTTCTAGCACTGGGAGTTAAACGATAAAGTTGACCAGCGGTATAGGGTTTTAAGGGTTAAAACAGCTGGCATTTCGGTAATGAAAAAAAGTAGGTCATATTATACAACCAATATCAATTTTCTAAAAGGAAATGCAAGAATTAAAACTTCTGTAATGGACAAAAAATATATATTATTTTTCATTTTCATTTGAAATGTTTAACCTTAAGAAACAGCATAATAATTTGAGGATGAGAAAATATTTTCATTAATTTCATCAGTGCAATGCATTTCTGAGGGAGTGTACACTGGAGTGTTAAAAATGGTAACTATATGGTACTCACTCCAAGCAAAACCTTAAACAGAGAGATAGGTTTTTCATTTAAAAGGTCTAATCACTTGTAATCAAGAAGCTCTAATTTCACGAGCAGTTGAACACTGAATACAGGTATCTAATATCCAGAAAGTGCAACTGACAAAACAAGTACTTACAAAAAAGTCATTGTTTAACATTATGATGGATATATCTCAAAGACTACAGACAGTATCTCACCTCCCACACAGTGCAACACAATAATAGCCGTGCAGCTAATGAGTTCTGACTCTGCAGCATATAAATCAATAAAAGTAATTACCACACCAGTGGCAAGAAGCTGCAGGGAAGTTCCTCAACGGTAACCCACACCTGTAGAATCCCTCTGCATTTGGTCAACTCGCCATGATAATTATACTCACGCAGTATTGTTTGAAAAATTAAATTGCCATCCACTGACAGGCAACGGCACATGATGAATTTGTTCTAGAGGTGCAGCTGACAAATGATCGTGACGTATCGGTTGCATAACATTAAAGACAATTAACTTGTAAGCTGATACAATCTTCACACAGTAACACAACGAGAAGCGACAGAAAAAGAAAATGAAAAGACATCGATCAACATCAATGTGTAAGGTCTCAAGTTATCAAAGCGAGACTCTCATTTGCTGGGGATGCTGTTGGCATCACGGTTCACGTCATCTCTCCAGTTTAGCTGAGATCTGATGAGATGAGGGCCACACCTCTCTCATAGAAGCTGTGGTCCTGGCTGGTTCCCTCGGCCGGCACAAAGTCCAGGGTCAACAGCAGCTGGCTGCGCGTGGCATTCAGGTACACGGGCAGGGTGACCTTACCCTCCGACAGGTCCTTGCCACCTTCCAGTCTGTGATCAAGGAGAGTACAGAGATATAGTGTTGGCGTAAAGGAGAACATGAAGAAAAAGTGTTGGCACAAAGGAGAACAGAGATATAGTGTTGGCATAAAGGAGAACAGAGAAATAGTTTTGGCATAAAGGAGAACAGAGAAAAAATGTTAGCATAAAGGAGAACAGAGAAATAGTGTTTGCGTATAGAAGGAGAAATCAGAGAAATAGTGTTTGCGTATAGAAGGAGAAATCAGAGAAATAGTGTTTGCGTATAGAAGGAAAAATCAGAGAAATAGTGTTTGCGTATAGAAGGAGAAATCAGAGAAATAGTGTTTGCGTAAAGGAAAAAAACAAAGAAATAGTGTTGGCATAATGGGAAAAAAACAAATAGCGTTGGCATAAAAGAGAACACACAGAAATAACGTTGGCATTTTAGTAAAACCAAGCAGAGAAAGCCTTTGACTAAATCAATCTCCAAACAATCAGAACATGAACACACTTTACATCATCTTCTGGCAATTTTATTAGCACTGACTCATGACTATTTTAGTATTATGTTGTGACTTTCTTCAGTTGATTGGAAAAGCAAGTGGGGGACTCAGAAAATCTATTGGAAGCGCACCAGAGAGGTACTTTAAAGTACACTTAAAAATGAAACCAAACTTTATATCCTTACACAGAAACAAGAGAGACAGGGTACAGAAGTAGACACTACCAGTGGCACCCTCTAACTTCCCCAGTAGTTTACCTGATCCAGCGCAGGATGGTGAGAGGCAGCTCTGTGGAGATGGTCTTACTCAGCTGCAGTTTGTTCTCCTTGCACACAGCTCCTTGCAGTTTCAAACCTGAAAGAATATCCAACAAGCTCAACGCACTTACCTCTATTAGTAAAAGTCAAAGACAGGTTAACTAAAGGCAAAACAACAAAAATAACAATTTTCTGACAAGACGGTTAAAGTACACCAAATGTTTTGTTGTTTTAGAGTTCAAATCTTACAATCTTCCATTATTCCTCTTTTGAAAGTGTCTCAAAAAAAGAAAATCAAACATTTCCTCCAAATTTTAGAAAGCTATTAATTTTCCTTCATCAGTTTTAGATCAGAGAGAAGACAAATATCACATTTCTCACTTTTAAAAATTTCACTGCGATCTTTAAAGTCTATGACATTTGAGCACATTAGCATTAACTAGTTTCTTTTCTTCCGAACTAAGTAGGCCTATAGAAATGTCATCATCATGGTAATACATGTTATTTCAAAGATTCATCGCTTCTTAAAGTGCTGTGCTCTTACAATAATACAACAAACACTAAATTAAAATACTTTCACATTTCATCAGTGCTAATTTGAACAAGTCCTTTCCCTTAAAGGTCATGACAAAGTTATTTTGAATAAAAGAATTTATAACACTACAAAGTTTGGCGTGCAGAAAACGAGGAAGTTTTGACATGAAATGACAACACCTGACCTCTTCAGACCACCCACAGACCCCCCACCCCGAACTACATCGACAGATTTTCAGGGTTTGGAGAAGTGGAAAATTATACTTTGTTTTTAAATCACAAAATGATTTTCACAAGAGTGTTTGTTTAAAGACAGTATCCTATACATCTTTCTCTCACAAGTAGAAAAGAGTAGCCGCTTGTACAAAGGATTGTCTTGGACAATTAGTCTTTAAAGTAGGTTCTACAATATCTCAACTATCATTTCTCAGCTAACCAGTGATGGAGAAACTGCAGTCATCCAGGTTGACTGTCTTGTTAGATTGTACCAGCACCTGAAAAAAAAATGGGAGTGATAATTTGTTGCTATATTGTCAATGTACATGTTTTGAAACTTTACAAAGATCTGTTTGGAGAGAGAGAGAGAGAGAGAGAGAGAGAGAGAGAGAGAGAGAGAGAGAGAGAGAGAGGGGGGGGGAGAGAGAGAGAGAGAGAGAGAGAGAGAGAGAGAGAGAGAGAGAGAGAGAGAGAGAGAGGGAGAGACAGAGACAGAAACAGAGACAGAGACAGACAGAGAGAGGCAGACAGACAGACAGACAGACAGACAGACAGACAGACAGGCAGACAGACAGGCAGGCAGACAGACAGACAGACAGACAGACAGGCGAAGAGAGACAGAGGCAGAGAGGCAAACAGAGAGATGGTGTTAAATGGTGTTTGAGACTTTGCAAAGAAGAGAGAGAGAGAGAGAGAGAGAGAGAGAGAGAGAGAGAGAGAGAGAGACAGAGACAGAGAGAGAGAGAGAGGAGAGAGAGAGAGAGAGGAGAGAGAGAGAGAGGAGAGAGAGAGAGAGAGAGAGAGAGAGAGAGAGAGAGAGAGAGAGACAGACAGACAGACAGACAGACAGACAGACAGACAGACAGACAGACAGACAGACAGACAGACAGACAGACAGAGACAGAGTCAGAGAGAGAGAGACAGACAGACAGAGACAGAGTCAGAGAGAGGAAAAAAGACAGACAGACAGACAGACAGACAGAGACAGAGAAAGACAGACAGACAAACAAACAGACACAGAGTGGTAACAGAAGCTAGTCAAGAGCGCCACAGTATGCTGTAGTAGTACTCACATCCAGGTAGAGTTCCTCCAGGGACCAGTGGTTGGCCTGGGCCACAAACTGTCGTGTGGCCGTGATGTAAGCCTCCGGGATGAACAGACCACCAAGCCAGATCTGCAGGTTCTGCCAACACAAAAAAAAAAGAAAAAAAAAAAAGAAATAGATGACAGTTCTGTTTTTTAGTTTTAGTAGAGGTTTTACGGCGCTCGCAACTGCATAAGGTCATATGAGCGCCAGAAGATTAGAGGTGTTACAAGAGAGTAACAAACATAAAAAAGAAGAAGGGGAGATAAGGACAATAGATGTTTGATAAAAAAGAAGAAGCAAACCACACCAGAGCACCCGTCAACCACCCACTGATAGTCATGTGGTCATGTGGGGTGATTAATAAAAACAATAACAATAATAACAACAATGAACACACACACACACACACACACACACACACACACACACACACACACACACACACAGTGGCTTCAGTTTTGGGTCAAATTTAATTCTGAATTTCGCCTGAACAGCAGCCTGAAGGACCAACTCCTTTTTTTAAATCAAAGTTGAAGACAATGTTTTTCAGGAAAGTATAATATTTATAATGCTGGAACTTTATATCTAAAATATCCGTTAGATCTGTTTGTTTTGTAAGTGCCACCGAGCACTTTTTGTGGATTCTGGCACGTTATAAATTTATTTTTTATTATTGTTATTATTATTTTAGAACCAATATGGGATCCTCAACGTGCATAACTTCCACATAGGACCTCCATAATCTTTTTTTTTAACCTCATAAGAGAAGACTAGGAGCTCAATATTAGCCTATCCACCCCAATATCAAAGGATGTTGAAAGACATTGGGGGAGACAAAAAAAAAGCGAAAGAAACAATGCTGGTGGGGATCAAATGATGGATCCCGTTGACAGGCGAATACCATGTAATTGGACAAATTCCCACAAAAACTCTTAGGAAAACCACAGGCAAAGAAAGTAGAGCCCACTTTGAGATTAAAACTAGGCCAGTGGTACCGCAGGAAAGCAAGACCCCAAGTGAACTAGCACCATGATGCCCGCCCTTACCTTGAGTTCTCTAGCTCCACCCGACTGTGTGGCTTGAGAGATGGCCTGCAGCTGCTTGATCCTCATGCTGAAGTCTGTGATCCACTGGATGACCGTCAGGCCCGCCGGGACATTGTAGCGTCTCCAGGAGGAAGGAATAATTCCTGAGAGAGAGAGTTTAGTTTTACTAAGGTTTTACAACACTCGCAACTGCATACGGTCATATGAGCGCCAAGGGGAGGATGTCGACAGAGAAGTCCAAACGGGGAATCAGGTTTGTTTGTTTTAGTAGAGGTTTTACGGCGCTCGCAACTGCATAAGGTCATATGAGCGCCAGAAGATTAGAGGTGTTACAAGAGAGTAACAAACATAAAAAAGAAGAAGGGGAGATAAGGACGATAGATGTTTGATAGGAAACAAGAAGCAAACCACACCAGAGCACCCGCCAACCACCCACGAGGAATCAGGATTACTCTGCTCCTCTCTCTAGTCTTAACAGCACAAAGTCTGCTTCAACTATCGAGGCACCCCAGATATAGCAGTTCACAAGAGAGTGACAAACATACAAAAGAAGTAGAGGAAAAATGATGATAGTAAGGATGAGGGAAAAAAAAGCAGCAGTTGCCCCTATGTTGTTCCGGCACAGTACGAGCATGACATTGATAATTAAGCCCATTTACAGTTCTGCTGTGCATATGAACATGTTCATATCCCCCCTTTGGGAATGGCCTAAAGACACTTCAGTCAGTATCACTGCCCTGGTGGGGGACCTGAGAGAGAAAGAGAGAGAGAGTCCTTGAAGCTTCATGTTGGACATTGTTTACATCTACCAACTGCAAACAAATATTTTTCAGTTCTTTCAGTCTACATGACAAGATCGAGATCCTTCTGGGAACGAGATCTGAAGGCAGACCTCAGATATCTGGAGCATCACTGTAGATAGAAAAGATTGCCGAGAACAGAGACAGGTGGGGAGCCCTTCTTATCAGCCGGTACCCAATCCCACGAAGAAACAGGGAGATGGTGATGATGACAAGCTAAGATGTATTGAACTCCGCACGGGTTTGCCTTGTCAGGCAAAGTCAAAGCTGTCTGCTGCCTACATAATCTATACTGTAACAATGTAGTGTAAACTACAAACAATCAAATCTATCAGCAGCCACAATAAATACATTTGCTGTCTTTATACAACGATGAAAAGAATTCAGCCTAACAGCTTAGGATGCTTTAAAAGACATAATAATAGCAACAACAGAATACTCAATGTATTTTCTAAGAATTACAACAGCTGTTTTAGTGGTCAGTGCTGTTTGAGTCATGTGTGACATACGTGAATCTCTTGCAGGCAAAAATGATTTGTCACATTATAAGCCATACTGAGAACATATGAACGTAGTATGCAGAACAATCAAAGAAAAGGCCTAACTGAATATTTCAGTTAAATGCCTTCCATTAAACAATCCCCATTGAAATCAATACCATTATGTCACTTATCATTGCGAGATGACAAAAACAGACAAAAACAACATAACAGCACTAAGAAAGAAAAATGAGAAAGCAGAGAGCATCTACTAATAACTTGTATCATCAACACACTATTAATATCAGAATGGTGTATCCGATAAATGGCAAGGAAACACAACACCTCTGCTGTCAGGCACATATCTACACAAAAGGAGGATTAGAACAAGTTGTGAGAAATGGTTTTCCTCACGCTAATAGGCATTCCTATTTCAGGCCATAATTGCAAAACCTACAACAGGCATTATTCTTTAACTATTTCTCATTCATATTGAATGCTTCTGTGAGCCTTAGGGCTTTTGTGCCTTACAATAGTATTTCTACTTCTTGGAAATTTCTTTGAAATGGTCTCCATGTGAATGGAGGCTGTGGCAAGTAAAAACTGCTCTAAAGACACATTCTGAACAGTGAACATTAACTACCAGCTCATTACTTTTAAGCTAGTTTTACTTCCTTTTCAACAAGTCAGTTTGCTCCTTTAAATTAGAAAGGGTATCTGACTAAACATCAAAATCGCTTGGACCAGAGAGTCTTACCAACTTTTCATTTGACAAAAAAATAAATATCTAATCTGGAGGCCACAAACAGGTTTGAAAATGATATGGCCCACACTGAGGTCAACAATACCAGTAAGAGAACAAACAACATGCTCAGAGAAAGTGACGAGGGGACATCAGCAGCTCACCTTTCACCAGATCAGCCATCATGGAGCGGTGGTGGTTGGTGGGCTTCTTCTCCCCGTCGCACACTTTGATCATGTCCATCAGGTCACGGCGCACATCGGCCAGCAGCTTGGCTCCAGCATTGACCTCCCGCTCGAAGAAGCGGAACAACGGGTCCTTGATGTTCTCCACCGTTCTCTTCATACCACCCAGGGCCTGTCGTCACAGAACAAGCAAAAGTTAATAACAAAGGCTGACAACATGGGAATAGAAACTTTGTTTGCTGCAGGTAATGAGAGGTATGCCCAGTGAAAGCTGCTATTTAATCGCTTTGAAAAAGTAAGAAGCAGACAAACTTTCCTTGAGTTTGATTAAAACAAAAAGCACATTGGCGTGATAAGTCATTTAGATCTGGGGAAAATCAAGAGAGAAACAAGAAAAGGAAAGAAAAGAAAGTAAAGATTCAGTTTTAGTAAGAGCTTACTGAACTTGCAACACAAATGGGTCATACAAAAGCCAAAGATTAGAGGTGTAACTAGAGAGAAACAAAAACAAAGAAAAGAAGAAAAGATAAGGACAATAGATGTCTAAAAGAAAAGAAAGAGTTAACCACAACATGGCACCTACAAACCACCTGCAGAAAAGGAGTAACACCAACAATTAGTGCTACTAAATCACTGTTTTTAAAAAAATCACATTAAAAAAAACCCAACAAATGCCAGCAGCATTCGCCAACTACCTATTTGGAAAAATGAAAATCCATCATGCTGTGCGGCTGGACAACTGACTGAGAATCAGATATGACCAACAATCATTAGCCTTTTATAAATTGGTTGGGTTCTTTTGTCTCAAAAGCAATCAATTCAATATGTACTCTGTTGGCAGAAGGATGAAAAGTCTATTCAAACACAATCAGACATCACACAAGTTTTGAGAAGGTAAGTAGACAGAACAACAAATAATGTAATTGGGTACAAGCACAAAACATAAAACACAGAGTCATAACTGCTAAACATCTCTTTCATTACACAACGAAGCTTGGAGGAAAAATTACTTTCCTTCTTCCATTAATCTATTGACAAGAGCTACACATTGCTCTTTTATTAGTAACTAATCAAGAGCAGCTAGTCCATTTGAATCTCCCCTGTGTCAGTACTGGGGATTTTTATGACTTGACCACAACAGTGTGGTATCAATTTCCACCATTATCAGCTACAACAAATATTTACGCTGAGTTGATTATTCTCATATTATTCTGGTGAATTAAATACAGTGCTCTACAATATCTTAAATATTAAAAAAGAAAAGGGGTAGTAAGTATAAAACCATAAGTGTAACAAATTGATGGAGGTGGGAGGGGGGGAATCCTAATTTTATACTGCAAGGAAGCACATTAACACAAAGGTTTTGTAGCCTCAGAAAAACGAAGATCACAAACAAAAATACATGTAATAGACTGACAGGAAAGAATAAGAGCCTACCAGTTGTACACTCTGAAAAATAACATCAAAGATATGAACCATTCCAGTTTAATTATATCCATAAACCAGTCAGACTCTTACAGTGTGCAGCACAACCCTAGAGGAAGTGGAATTGCGTGGTATGACAAGTCCCAGCTGGACGTCTTAGTTTTAGTAAGAGTTTTACAGCACTTGCAACACAATAAAGTCACATAAGTGCCGAAGAATAAATGCGTTACAAAAGAGTAACATACACAAAAAAACGAGAGATATTTGTTTTAGTAAGAGTTTTAAGGCACTTGCAACACAATAAGGTCATATAAGTGCCGAAGAATAGACGTGTTACAAGAGAGTAACATACACAAAAACAAAGGAGAGATAAGGACGATAGACATTTGATAGGAAAGAAGGAGCAAACCATGCCAGAGCTCCCGCCAACCATCCACTGGATGTCTCAGACCGTACCACAGACGGCCTCACACACAACACAACAGGCAGAATCTTGACACTGAACAACAAACTAAAAGAAACTGAGCTCCAGCAACTTAAATGACACTGAGCAATGGATACATGACTATTTTTAAAAATACAAAAGGGTTGAAGCTTCTAGGGCAACAAAAGGTTTTTTTTTTTTAATGTTTTAATGAACCATTGACAGCATCAGACTTATTAAAGTAGAGCATCCTTATGTGCTGCTACTTACTGGAAGTGAACAGACCATAAAGAAAGGAGGGGGGGGGGGATGGTAGGGAATGACTCGGGAGGCACATCTATATAATTATCCACATGTAAAACAAGGAGTACAATTCAAGGTCAGACACCCCATTCCTCAGTTTAGCTTGTGCTTTGAGTAAAAAGAGCATCAACACAAGAATAGTCATTTAGTGCTGGGGACAAGCACGACCAACAGACAAAATCAGCAGAGGGAGACGAAGGAAGAAGGACCTTCCATCATCAGCCTGGAACCAACTACGACCCCATTCCTATCAATACATTGTACTTTTTTTTTTAACTTGTCAAAAAGCTCGGAAATTTTCTTCAAACTGCAGCCAATGTCTCAAACCTTAGCAACTGCAATAAAAGTTATCAGATAAAACAGCCAATATCAAGTCACACCACCAAATAAACCCTCACAGTAACCTTCACAATGCCCTCAGGATCCACCTTCATATACAACCTTCCTCTAATGTCTTAATCCTTTTCCTCATAAACTATATTCTGTTCTAAAACTGTTCCAACATTATTTGTAGCGACCAGGCTTTCAAATGAGAGCGTCACTTCATCATTTTCTTGAATAAAACATGGTAACTCTTGTCAAGCACAGGGCACCACTTGACAGATTTGCACAGAAGCGTACAGAAATTGTATAAAACTGTTTAAAGTTACTATTGCCATATTATTATACATTCATAACTTTGCATGCATATATGCACTCACAGCAGAAAGTCTTTGAAACTTGTCATATTTCTTTTGTTTACCAAGATAAGGACATTGTTTCAAGACACAACAACAAAAAAGGTAAGTCTATTAACTTGATGTACAAGGCAAAGTTCAGAGACGGACAAGTTCATCCAGAAGAAACCAATCCCTCGCCGATCTCTGGGAAATCTGGACACTCAATCTTTCAAAACTCTACAACTTGCGACCTCAGTGCTTTCTTGTCATTTCTCCATTTTCAATAACCGTGAAAACAGTTTGTTACAAAGAGTGAGCTTAAGAAGAAGTCAAATTTTCACAGTTAACAAGAAAAATGGAGATATGGCAAGAAAGCACTGAGGTCGCGAACTGTAGTGCAGAACCTGGCATGTGACATTGGGGGTGCCACGGATCAGGAGAAGCAGGATAGGAGCAGAAGTGGAAAAATCTAATCAGTCCTTTGTGTTTAGGACCTGGTAAAGGCATTGCAGTGAAGGGAATATGGATTGTGGTTGCAGTGACAATGGCGAACATCATGACAATGACAATGTTCTGAAGAAACCAAAAAAAAGCTGAGCTTTGGATAATTTTGCTAATTCCCACTAAACTACTAACGTCTCCATACCTTTTAAACTACACTGTACTTTAAAAAACAAACATTGATGACACCCTTCCTACAATGAGCTGTTTCTGATGAAGCACCAAAGACTAAATCGAACAGCCTATCAAGAGCTACATTTTAAATAATTCAAAACTGCTTTCATCACACAAGTATGAAATTAAGACCTAACTTCACTCAGTATTTGACAATGACTAGTATTGATATCTTATATAATAATTAGCCCTTTTCCTTGGCTCACACTGGGTCACATCCAACCCGCCTGGTGACTGTAAGAACGCCTTTGTTAGGTCTCTTTCCTTGATACATATACAGCACTGTCTTTAATTTTTTACCCTCAGTCGCTCCTGAACAAGTTTTCGATTTAAAAAAGTTAAGCCCATTTAAATAGGCAAAAAAAATTATTTATAATATTCAACTAAAATTTTACTTTAAACTCCTCCCTATTCTGCTGTTCCTACAATGATGACGATGAGCTAGATGCTGATGACCATGATGATGATGATGATGATGATGATGGTGAAGATGAGATGGCGATGATGCTGATTATGAGGATAATAATGATGACGACAATGACGATAATAATTATGAAGATGATGAAGCAGACGACAATAAAAAGGGGTAAAAAATGGTGTGAAAATGATTGTGCTAGTAGCAGAGGTATTGTAACATCAATAATCATGTTCACAATAACAACAGCAGACAACACCAAACAACAACAGTTGGTAAACAAAGGAGAGAAGGCAACGATGATTCTGATAGCAACAACAGATATTGTCAATGCAGACAATGTACTTCCTTTGAAGATCTTGGGGGAACTAAGTCAAAGATAGAAGAGCTCAACTCAAAAGTTTACGGAAGCTAAACTAAACAGGACCCTTGGGGAAACTTCTACAAATCCACTTCGACAGAAAACATAACAAAGTGCTTTTTAAGTACACTTTGATAAAACTCAAAAGGGTAGATGTACCAACATAGAAAGTAAAACATATATATGGGTGTTGTATTCTCACAAGGGACAAAATGAAAATACTGCCAAAAAAAGGGACATTTTCAGTCATACAGAAACTAAAATACATATTGCTAAAGCAAAACAAAAAAAACAAAAAAAAAAACAATAATAATTTAACACTAAGGGGAAAAATCTCAGCATTGGGAGAAGTTTGTGGGTGATTGTGACCAGCCTCATTGTGCTGAAAAAACTACATTACCTCAGTTACTGAACGCTGAAACACAAAATTGCCCATGCGAGCCAACGCTTATTAAAGATGCAAAACTTAAGCAACCAAATGTCATCTCTCTTTTTATCTCTGTGTCTGTCAAGTCTGTCTGTCTGCACTATTCTGCCTTACAAATTCTGGCACATTCTACCAGAGGTTTTGATACTAGATTTATAATTTAAGAAGTCATGATTATACAACTGTATGATTTCTCATAAGTAGGACCCAGTATGTCCTGTTCATGTGAAAGACTTTTAGCGTCAAGTATTCCTCTGTCCATTAAGGAGTTAAGCACACATCAAGTATGCGCTCACGAGTAAACCTGCTACAGATCTGTGTCTTGTCCAGGACAGGATCAGTACCCCATCTGCTTTTTCAAAGAAAGGTGACCATCTTTGACGATAGCTAAACCATCCTGTCCATTTTTTGCATTAAATGATCATTTTTGTTCATGACAGCGATAATTTCAAACTAGTTGAGTAATGCCTCTGTCTCAAAGACAAGACACCCTATAAGCAGACTTAAAATTAAGGAAGCAAAATGTTACTCCTTTTATGATCTTTGTGTCCGTCCGATTAATTTTCCTATACAAAAATTTAGCAAAATGTTATTCCATTTATGGTCTTTGTGTAAGTCTGATTAGTTTTCCTATACAAAATTCAGGTCCATTCTAAAGCCCTGTCTCCCGATGTTCTGTTGCTGAATATTGTAATCTTCACCAAATTCATCTCTTTGTTGCTTTCTTCATTTTGTTTCAAAATGTATTTCATTCTTTCCATGCTACAGGCAGTTTATGCAAATCAATACATCATGCGATAAAGACTCATATCAAGACTGGTTACGATGAAATCTCTTGAACACTCTAGGTAAATAGAAATCATGTATCATGCACATTCATATAAGGTCACAGCTGTCGCAAACTACAACGTGAAAATATAGTCTATAAATACACATCAAACTCTTCAAAAGAGCTTTGTTACAACAATACGAAGGTGAGTTCGATTTTTATATATCAAAGTATGAATAGAATGGTACATTCACGAGATCCTCAATACTTTTCTTAACGAATTTTGCCTCTTGCCGAGATCAATGAGAAAGTTCCTCTACACAATAAGTAATCAGGAATTCACAAATGGCCATACTAAAAAAATGTTAAAAACTCTGGTGTAGGATGAAAATAAATTTGCATGCTACTTTGGCTGGGGTTATTTTTGTTCACTTTAATTAATAGTGACTTTACTAAAAAAAATTAATAGCCTCTTGAGTCCAAGACAGTGCCAAAATGTCAACTAGTTGATCTCTTCAAAGCAGTGCTGCTAAGATAACCTTGCATAGAGTACATGACATCACTAATACTAACAAGCAATACAAAGGGTAATTGTAATTCGATAAATATTCTGGAATCAAAATATTCTGACAAACACAGAACCACTGTATACTAAAGAATTAGATATTGGGACTATTGACTATTGGAATTTCTATGCTGGGTACATTGAAATACACACAACACTCAAAACACATTCTCAGGGAAAACAGACAAGGAGACAGATATTGCATGAACAGGAATCGCATTGATTTTTTTATAAAAGTGCGTAAATTACTGTGATTAAAGTAAAAGAAGTCGTAGACGTATAACTTTACAAAGAATACTGACAATGGAAGGTTAGGTTTTTGATTTAGTATGAGTTTTACGGCGCTCGCAGCTACATAACAGAGGAAGGAGACAAACAGGATCGGAGTCATAGACCAGGCCATTTGTCCACTCACAAACAATAGCCTCCTGAGATACTATAGAAAGTGATACAGGTCATCAGTAGCAGGTTGTGTGGCTGATGTACCATAGTAACATCTAAACTCATGACTAACAGATTACTTCTGGAGGCATGCGAGTCTCAATTGTTGTACTCATTTCTTGCTAACGTCCTAAATTATACCCTTATGTTCTGGTTGGTGTCACTTAAAACCACATTCTCATGACAATTACCATTAAGACCTTGGAAAAACAGCAAGATGCACAAGACAGAAGCAATAGAAATAATATAGTACATTTAGGACATTCAGTAGAGTAGAATCAACTAATGACACCCTCCAGCTATCAGCATTATCAGATCCCTCTCGTCCTTGATTATTTGAAAAAAGAGAAGCACACTGACAAAATTACTGTCATCTGATGCTAAAAAAAGACAAGACTGACAGATAGAAAAAAAAAAATTAAGAAGAAAAACCTACTAATAAAGCCTGCCGCTCGATCTTGTCTACCATAAGTGCAATCTCAAAACTATAAAGAAATCACATGCTTACACACAATCAAACAATATTCAGTGATAAGTGATAAAAACAGTCACTACAATTGAGAGGAGAACACAGGGCATAAACCCATGAGGAAGAGCATGTGATATCGCATGCAGACAGGCACAAGTGTCTCACCTTGGGCACCAGCTGCAGCCAAGCAGTGACGGAAGTGTGCAGGGTCCTCATCCACGCGGGACGTCCATCCGCCAGGCGTTTCTCGTGCTCCTCGGGCGTGCCGCCATGGCTGGACACCTCAGAGTCCTCCAGCAGCTGCATGCGCAGCAGGTTAGCGATCATGCTGCTCCCTGAGGGAGACAAGTGAACACAGGTCAGGGGTCATGAACACTTCAGAGTAACAGAAGACTGTTTAATCTATTTACGTCTACAGTACATCATTAATACAGCAAACTGTGAAACAAACCCCCCCCCCCCCCCCCCCCCCCAAAAAAGGTAATTAAAAAACCCAGAGAAGTTGGACAATTCCTTCTTCTTTTGCTGACTTAACAACAATTGGTTGGAGTAACAAAAACCACATTGACAAAACAGATTTTTAGAGCTGGAAAAAAACCCATACATTTAGACAAGACACAAAAGACGAACTCCCCCACAAAAAAAAACAACAAAAGAACAAAAACAAATAAAAATCCTCCTTCCAATATTTTTTTTTCAAAAACCTTATTTCTGAGGCTCAGCACAAACATACCTTGTGTTGTAAGGAGCACTTTCTCGGCATTGTTGGGAAGACCAAGCCATGACGGGGTCTGAGATCCCTCCATGTTCTCCACAAACTGGACAAACTGCTCACGCCTGAAACAAAAAACAAAACAAAATCACTCGATTTTAATAAGACGATATTTTGATATTAGTTTAACATTAGTAAAAACATGTTATTGCTTAGGAGTAAACAGAAGCACATCGATACATTTACGGCCTATGAGTATTAAGGAAACACAAGAAAGACAGACAGACAGACACAAAAGAGGGAAAGTAAAGTAGGACCTACAAGGGGCAAGGAATTTATCTCTTTGAGACTTCTTAAAATATCTGTTCATGTAAGTCAAATGCAACAGCCAGCTTTTCACTGGCACTCAAAGTCAACAACATGGGCCACTAAATTAGAAAAAGAAAAAGTACGATGACTTAATCCAACCAACAAACACAAAATGGAAGGTATCGATCACATGCTCTGCTAGAGCAGAAAGCTTTCACAAAAGAAGCCCATGTCACAGCAACAACAAGCAGCAGCTAGTTTGCGACATTGTTCTATTATGTATGATACTGAATAGTATGTGACATTAATATGTACAATATTGTGTAGTATGTAACATTGAAGAATTATTGTACTTATGTTTATACTAGCAATTATGAACAAAATTTCCAAACAAGATCAACAAAAGTGTTATTGTATTTCATTTATAAAAAATCTATTTATTTATCTATCTACAAACCTGACTCCATCTGGCATTGTGATGTGTTTGCCTTTGATGCCATCAATGTCCTGCACCAGAGGGAAGTCTCCCTCAAAGCTCTTGGGGGTGAACAACTTGTTCACAAATGAGGTCAGTAGGCGCTAAATACATTCGAAGGAAGGAAAAAATAAGACGTTGGTTAGCATCAATTTATATTTTTAGGTTTAAACATTGGTCATGCTTTCACCAGAATTTTGATTTATAGAAGTTACATTCACAGCTTTATTCTAATGCAATATACTAGGCAGCCCGGCTGCTTAAAGTCAAGAAAAGCAGCGATACAGCCTTGTGAAAGGTATTTTGTTTTCATTTTAAATTGTTAGAACATGGCTACCCCGTCTTAAAAATGTTTGTTCTTAAGGATCAGATTTCATCTTGGTTATGATTAGCATACCTTCTCTTTTTAAAATTCCATGCAATTATGAGAAGAAGCAAGACATATTTTAAAGTCTTCAGCAGGAATCAGTGTCATGGAACCATGAAAACCACTAGAAGAAATTTTGAAACACATCCACACAATAAAGGTCATTTGAGGCTGAAAAAAAGCAAGTTATAGAGAATCAACAGAGAAACAAATTAAGGGAGTAGAATCTACCAGTGGCAGCCTCCAATTACCTGCTGTAATGATATTATGAGAGGAAACCATCTAATCAGTTCTGCAGTTTCTTAAAAACAACACCACTGGATATTTCATCATACAGACCAACAAACCTGATCAAAGTCGTTGTCAATCTTGCCACCATAGATGCACTGGGCCAGAAGGGTTCTGATGGCATCCCATGGTACTTTCTCAGGTGGAAGATTTGTGCGGCCCTGATTGAGAAAAAAAAAGTCAGTAAGTTAAATAATGGCAGCGGCGAGGAGGGGGGGGGGGGGTAAACTACCTTTACAATTGCAGCAGTCCAAGGAAAAGATACACTCAACAAATTAATAAAAAATAAAATATTCAACAAGCACTTCTTTCAAAAAGAGCTAGACTGGAAGAACATAGTCATTTAGGATTCACTACTCACTCCCCTGTCTTTATATTCCCAAACATATTTTCCATTGAAATGTTGCATGAATAGCCAGAAGAACAAACCTTTCTAGTTGCAGAGGTGTCAGAGATAAAGAATTTACCTATTTACAATTAGGATTCCACAGTTGTGATAACATGCTAAACATACTCTGCACAGGCAGTCTAGTCCTTAACACCTTCAGCCCTGGTTTCCCTGACCCTACAGATCCAGTCCACCTCGGCTTCCTCCAGTTTATCGAATCCTAGAATTTTACCACAGTACAATGAAGTGATCTGCTTTCCAAAATGAAGAAACGTAACAGTAACCCATACACTCAACAGTGCACTCAATCCATAAATTATATCATTTATAATAGAAGCTATAATAGTTACCATGGCAACAGAGTAGATTATAATAGTTACCATGGCAACAGAGTCGATCCATACATCCAGCATATCACAGGCCACGCGGAGGTCAGACTCTGTGAACTCGTACTTCTTGGCCCAGCCCAGGGGTGTGTAGCGCATGCGCTCTTGGAGAATGGCATGGAGCCAGGCCAGGAGGAAGTACAAACGGGCTCGCTCATTTGGTGCCTGCATGAGGACAGATGGCAAAACATTAGATTCGGGAAATCTGAACAGAGGAGGCAATATGGCAAAAAAGTTCAGACATCAGGCATTAAATTGCTGTGTTAGTGAAGATTTCTTTATTATCAGCTGGAACTGTCACTAAATTTCATGTGATATCTGAAGAAAAAAAAATGTAATCAACACATTCTAAAAATAAAGACCACGAGTAGGTTTCTCCATACACTTAATGGAATAATTCACTTCATTGTCTATCACAAAAGCAATGTACAAAAAGCAATATGAATAACAATAACAAATAACCTGTAAGCTGTAAGAAAAAACCAATAGTGCTGGACCAGGAGAAAACGTATCTGAATACCTTGCACATGCGAGCGGAGGGAACGGTGCTGAATGTTCTCATCAGGTTGGCTGGCACACCCGGAGGGGGCTCGAACACAAACACTCTGCCAGCCCTAAGCAGATTGGTAGGCAGCTGTGGAAAAAGAAACAAAATAAACAGTTATACATAAAGCGTCTAAAACATCGAAATATTACCAAAATTTGACTTTTTGCCTTCAAATTGTTGTCCCCCCTCAATAGTAACTACTAAGTTATTGCAATAATACGTAATATATCAGACCAAGAAAAAAAGCACCATCGAAAGTTGGTATGCTGTATATAATTTTGTACAAATATGGTGTGCCCTCTTAGCCAATTGACTTTATAAAACCCTCGATGGTAAACAGATCTCATATCGTTGCTGTCACAAGAAAAAAATTAGCGACCTCATTTGACCCTGATTTAAAGGGTGAGTACAAAATTACTGGACTTGCTGACTTTCCTTCATCTGCAGCAATTTTCATCATGAAGTAAGCTGCAGTAAGAGATTTAAAGCTAAGCCTGCTAGAAATATGTATAAAAGAGAACTAAATTTTTATGCTCCCAAAGAGGCAATTCTTTTCACAAGTTCAAGTGAGAGAGTCTATTTCCAATTCAACTTTTATTTGAGAAAAAAACGATGACAAACCGTTTTGTCAATGCCAGTGACAATGTTTGTAAAAATGTTTGCCAATTTTCAAGAACACTTTTTTTAAAAGTTAATCATCTTGAAGTGTACTATTTTTGGCTTACTTACAAAAACAGCTAAAACATCTCATTATTTATCATGGTGATGATATAATTCTACTAATGCCAACCCATAAATAAATATATAAAACTGAAGCACTGAGCACTCAGAACACCACACTGCGAGTTCTCACCTTGGGGTTGATCTCCATGGTGAGGAAGAGCCTGAAGCTGGGGTGCACCTGCAAGCTGTGAAGTTTTTTCTCCAGCTGCACCAGCCACTGAGGAGCCAGGTGAACGTTCTTCAGGATCACCCAGCGTCCGGACTTGCTGGAGGAGTTGATCGCCTTGTCTGCTTGTGTGAAACCTTCAGCAGAGCCTGTGGGGGAGAAAAAATATATGATTCCTCAGAGTAGCAAATCACAAATTCGATGCCTTCTTGCTTTAGGGTGTGAGGAAAAGGAAAATGCATTGACACAATGTAGTTATTTGATGCGAAGAAAATTTAAGTGTCAGAAAAAAAGCATTTGAATGTAAGGAAAAAAGACCTACTTCTTACTATGAAACTCCTCCTTCCTGATATCAAGGAAATTTCAGCTTTACTTACAAGAATGGAAAAACACAAAACAGCAAAAGCCACAACATTTAATAAACAATTTACTTCTCATGACAAAACAGCTTTCATTTGCATTAACTCATCTTTCCTACTGAAGAGCACAAAGAAAAAGAAAATTATTCATGGTATATTCTCCTAAAATTACATATAAGTCCACTGTCTCATCGAGCATCCATTTGAACATTTCTCAACATTTGAGTCTATAACTGTAAAAAAGTTGTCAATATACTGGGTCTGGTGAGGAAAGCATTTTTTATATTTTTAAATTTTAACCCTTTTAACCCTGGCCCCTAGAGTTCAGAGGATCCTGAGCTCCTTCCAGCGACTGCGGGTTTACCCAACTTCCGAGGGAGAGAATCAGAACATTTGGGTTAAACTTTTAAACTTCAGCATTGATGGTATTGACATGAGTCAAGTGTGTTGCTCTTCAACTTACCAATGGCAATGGATGTGATGGACTTGTTGAGCTCAGCAGCCAAATCATCAACTCTTGAGCTAGCATCATAACCAGTCACAGAGCACATCAGAACTGGTGTGGCTCCCTTGATCTGGAAAAATTAGTTAGAAATAGGCATATGACTACGTGATTGGACCTAAGCAAAAACCATTCAGATATAAATGATATCAACGAAAGCAAAGTTTTGGTACCATAAAATGTTACCTTCTTGATTACATCTAAATAAAAACTTGTTAAAATTTGAAAATGAAGTAAACGCTACAACAACAATGAGAGATCAAAACTAAAACTAAACTTCAGATAAGAAAGATGCATCAATAGTTCCAACTGGTAAAATGCTAGATAATCACTTTGCTTCCTAAGGATGCACTGGACAGATCTCTGGTGAGGAATATTGCTTATCTGTTTCACCAAGTCACTAATACCAAGCACATTATATACTGACAACTCATCGTACTATCATTTAAACAACTATGACAGTTACATGTTATTTCTCTCTCATATTCAGTACTTACCTCATTTTCACAGATGGCAGCCAGGTCCATTTCCTTGGCAGAGACGTGCACAAATTCTGTGCCCAGAACTTTCTCGACAAAAATCCTGGCCATGGCTGTCAGTCTGTCCGGTCGCAGCGCGTGGATCACCAAGAGCCCATTCACAGCCTTTCCAACATCAGCTACAGAGCAAAAGTACCCACATCAAAATTTGTTTGACTTTACTTACAGTATAATAGTACAAAATCAAGTTTTTAATACTAAATGAACTCTTTAGAAAATATCTGAGAATTCTACAAAATTATATCGAGGGCGCCAAATTGAGCAATAAATAAGTCCAGAATTACAAATAAAGAGACTGAGGAACTGTGAAAAGAAAACAACAACTAATTACTTTCCAAGCTTTTTAGTTTTAGTAAAAATTTTACAGCACTTGCAACACAAATCAATCATATAAAGTGCTAAAGATTAGAGGTGTTACTAGAGAGTAACACACAAAGAAAATGCCAACCATCCACTCTTTTTAAGCTTTCTTGGGTCACGTCCGCCATGATTTAAAATAAAAAGTTCCAAGCAACAATACGCACTGATGGACTTGTCTTCCACCCACATCTTGGGGATCTCCAGTTCTGGATTGGCACACTCAAGCCAAGAGCTGAATTCCTGAAACAGAAAGAGAAGGAACCCACAATTGTTTATAGAGACTACACACAACGCAGCGAAAGTAGAAAAAAAACAAAAGCTAGGAAAATAGATTTGTAAACATGTCTTACTCAGAAGATAGCAGGTAATAGTTCATTTCTTTTATTATTATGGGTCAACAGGTTATCAATTTTCAAAATTAAATGGGATAGTTTTTTCTCCAAATCTCCAGACTTCAAATTCTAAGGCCCATAAATTAAAGTTAAGAACACTGTTGTTATTTTCAGACCTCATATCTTCCAACACATTGCACATAGAAATGACAAGTCATGACAAGACAGTGATAATGAATAATGTACAACCGTACTCAAACTCAGAAACACTTACAGCATTTCCAGTGACTTCACTCATGATGTTCCTGAAGGAAGACAGTTTGCTGAGGCGAACCAGAGCAGAGTGCTGGAAAAAGGAAGGAAAAAAAATGAGTTTCAGAATTTGAACAGAGAGAAAAATCAAACGATACTAGCATTCAACTTAACTATTACTTAAATTTTATTTTCAAACAAAAAGAAAAAATACAAGCAAATACAAAAGGGACAGCCAGTCAGAAAATAAACATATTTATAAGTTATACTATTTAACTCTCCTGATAATGGCATTAACATGACAGCTCATTATTATCTGAAATGAGATTGCGGTTATCAAAATAAATTCAAATTTTCTGAAGTTGTCCTCCGTTGATGATATATTCTGAATTTTGCTAGAATTTATTTGTTAAGCATTCTGCACACAAAATGTCATCGCATCTCAAACAAGGGTATTTTACAAATGTATCTTTGAGTGAGCGCTGCTGATATATTACCTGCTGGGTGCTGAGGCCAGGCAGAGTAGAGGTGGGTTTGTCAGCGAGCAAGCCCTCCTGGCTCCTCATGAAGTGGTCAAACTCTGTCTCATAAGAGCTTTCTCTGAAAAAATCAATACCAGGCACATATGAAAATATCTGGTGCTAATGCCTGTACTTTTCTGCTTTCCACTTATTTTGTACTACATACGGGGATATTACTTTATGGCAAGTCTCGCAAACTAACAGTCACATTTCTTCAGAAATAGAAGCATTGAAAAATATAGAGAGAGTGACCACAGGACCCACCACTGACCTCTGAAAGGCATGACCAATAGTGCAAAAAAATGCTTCAAAATATGTGTAGATCAGAAAACATAAGGTGTGGAAGTTCCATGAAGGTAAAAGCTTACCCTGCCATTCCCTGCAGATGAATCCTGCACAGCTGTATGGCAAACGTGATTCTGTCCTGGTGAAGCATTCCTCTACCAACCCGACTGTAGGCTTCCTGGAGACAGGCAATAAGTTTCCTGGTCACAACTCAGCGTAGCTCATTCAGTAATGCATAAACTCAATAGCTTACATTTCAAAAGATATGAAACACAAACATTTCTTGGAATACTGGTAGACCACACATTTCACTATACCTAATTCCACAATCCATACATTCAACTTATCTATTCACCAATAGCTACTTTATCGGGGGGGGGGATCTGAAACACAAAGATTTTCTGAAATGCTGAGACACAGGCGATAAGTTTCCTAGTCACAATTCGGCCTAGTTCATTTGTTAATCCATACACTCAATCTATCTATTCATCAATAACCAACATATCAGGAGGGTGGGGGGGGGATCTGAAACAACAAATATTTCCTAGAACACTGAAGATCTAATGGTGACAGCCCTATAGCCTTGCTTTCCTCACCATAAAGAGGTCAGTAGTGATCCTGGAGAGGCGAGCTGTGTGGTCCTTGAGACCCGTCAGATGCTGGTTGTTGCTAGTGGAGGCATGGAAAATCTCTAGGAAGAACTGCAGGGAGTACTGGTACAGGAAGTGCACCTGCAAGAACATAAACATAATGCAACAACTGATAAGTTTTAAAAATAATAACACTGATGTGGGATACATAAGGAGAACATTCCATTCTCTGAATGGTAATTCCGTTGATAGGGACATTTCAAATCATACAATCACAGAATTGATTTAGTCCTAAAACATTTCATATCACACAACCACAGAATTGGGGGGGGGCGCAGGGCGCGCACACATGCAAAATAAAAAGATATTTCATATCACACTATCTTACAACCCAAAAATTGGGTTGATTGGGACATTTCAAATCACACAACCACAGAATTGAGGGGCCGCTCGCAAGACATTTCAGATCACACTATCAAACAACCACAAAATTGGGTTGACTGGTACATTTCAAATCACACAACCATAGAGCTGGGTTGATTGGAGCCTAAAACATTTAAAATCCCACAAGCAGATATGAGCACTGGGTGGCGGTGGCGCTGGGCCTCTCACCTGTTGCAGAGCCTCCAGGGTGAAGTAGATGCTGGAGCAGCTCATGGCCAGCGGCTCGTACTGCTGGGACACGGTGTTCACCTCGGCCATCACCACATCCGTCTCCTCCACCTTCTTGGCTACCTCCGCAGCCTCCAACTTCAGGGTCTCCAAGTGACTCAGGATGCTGTGTGGTAACAATTAAAATTAAGAATTGCTTTTTAGTTAAGTTTTAGTAAAAGTTTTACGGCATTTGCAACACAATACGGTCACATACATGCTGAAGATTAGAGGTGTTACAAGAGAGTAAAAAATACACAAAAGAAGGAGGGGAGATAAAGACGATAAATCTATGATACAGTGCTTCCACCAGCTGAAGCTGAAAAGTAAGGAAAATTCTGCAGGGGGTCTGGGGGCCGCAGAGGCCCCCAGCAGGGTCCAGGGACAGCGTCCCGGGTGGGGGTTCAGGGGGCGAAGCCCCCGAAGAAATTGAAATTTAGTGCTTTTTGAGGGTTGAAAATGGCATTTGGGAGCCTGTTTGAAGATATTGCCTACAGCCCATAATATTTATTTTTTCACCAACATTTTGTTTTGTTTGACTTCATCGCCAGCATTTCTTTCCAATGCTGGAAATGTTTAAAAGCAGGTTCCCTTTCATTGCTACTATAATTCAATTAATTTGTAGTCGCACCATTGACAGCAGGCAAACCTGGGAATAATGAATAGATCTAGATGTACCTTCAAAATACGGTTGCGCAGCGTATACCCACATTTTTTCTAAATTTTCATGTCTGAAAGTCGCCTGTCACAACCTCGGAACACCACTTCGAAATATTCTTGATTTTATACGTGGTGCTCACTATGGACGGGATCGGCCGATCGCCCGACTCGATCGCCTAAAAAACAAACGTGTTTGTTTTCAGTTTCAAAGCAAACACGGTTGTTCGACCGAGTCGGGCAATCAGCGCAATCGGCCGATCCCATCCATAGTGGGCACGACCGTATCAGCATATATTTCTTTCATCGCGGCCCTTATATTGCGTTCACGTGCCGTAGAATCTTCTAGCTAAAATATGCTAAAAAAGTTTCTTTCCGACAGTAATTTTCTGTCTAAGATCAAAATCAGTCTTGATCAACGCGCAGATTTTCCAGCCGCGGCAACAATCCGAAGATAGACAGAAGGAATGAGGGAATGATAGAAAGGAGGAAGTTGGCACAAAAGGTTCGCCAGATTTTGATCCATCTGCAGGTAAAAAATGTACTGCCGACCAGACCAAAACGCAATGAACGCATGGGACTGGGACATAGCGGTATAATGTCCGATTGCAGGAAATGCGCAATTTGGCAGGTTTCTATAACGTTAACTTGTTGCCGAGAGAATTACCGTAAATATCCGTACCTTATACAAGACGATACGGAGGCGAGTACGGAATTTCGGCAGTCCTGCACGGTCGCAGTTTTTTTTTTTTATGGAGGGAGTAGATAATGATGGAGGGACAAGTACGGAACTGGCAGAAAGTACGGATTTCCGTAAAAATACGGAAGAGTGGAAGCACTGAAGGAAAGAAGAAGCAAGACGCAAACCACACCAGGGCACCCGCCAACCGCCCACAAAAATTGTTTACATATATATATATATTGTCAAATATATCGTCAGAGTCATTTTACAAACTCTTCAGTCCTTATTTGAAAACCTAATGAACGTTAGAGAAAAAGAGAGAACCCAAATCCGAACCATCATGTGAGGACTCGTTATTTCTTTCTTTAGTTTAAACTAGGAGATAAACCTAAAACATAACAAAACTATATTGTAACATGTCCCTTGATGTTTTTGACGAAATCATGGCTTAATCTAAAAATCCCCAGAAATGGATTTGAGCAATCTTGAATGACACTGATGATATGCTTATTTTCTCATGGTACCTTTATGACAAATCACATTAGCATGATACGCTACTTCCACACAGTATGGATGCAAATGTATGACTGTCTGATTAGGAAAACACATTGGTTTTTCTTCCAGTACTTATGCATATCATATTCATGATCATATTATTAAAAATGTATTTTCTACTTGTGCAGGCTTAAACAAAGATTTGAAAAATTTGAAAAATTATGTCATAATTCTGGCTGTCCTCATTTGTTTGGGTATGAAAAAGAGGAATCAAACAGCAACGGTCATTTAGTATGGAGAAAAAGCAAGACCAGTGGATAGAAACAACAGAATGAGATATAAGAAACGAAACCTTCCAGTAGCACCTCCGATCACAAGTGCAACACAAACAAAGAAATCGTACTAAAACCAAAGAAAAACAGCCTAACCTTTTGCCACTCGTAGTGGCCGATGTGCGCCGTCATCGCTAACCCCCGTAGTGGCCGATGTGCGCCGTCATCGCTAACCCCCGTAGTGGCCGATGTGCGCCATCATCGCTAACCCCCGTAGTGGCCGATGTGCGCGGACACAACCACTCAATTCACTTGTTTCACCCGTCTGCACTACTTTCGTTTCTACGTTATCTCGCTTTCTGCGAGGTCGCACGAGATTGCCGAGCTTATAGTGAGAATCTAGAGTGGTTGCCCTTTACTGTCATGTTTATTTGGTGAAAATCGATTGAAGCACGCGAGAGCGGCATTTTTTTTATTTCATGCTTTTTAGAGACCAAAGTCTAACTTCGTGGATGAAATTTTGCGTCGCTACAGGCACTCTATATGATGGAGACACTTATAATTGGGATTTGAGTGCCGATATCGTCGACCAAGGGGCTAGATCTAGTGCTAGTAGTACAAGTAGTCACTCAGTCGTGAGAGAGAGAACGAGAACTATAGTAGGAGAGCGAACACGATGTCACAAGTCTAGATCTAGGCTCTAGGGGAGGGGAACAACTATGATAGTGATGTTGATGGTGAGACCGTTGCTGGAGGTGATGATTTAGAAGACTCTGATGAAGAAGATAGGCCTAGCACCCACAGCACTTTAGCTAGATCTAGTACTACTAGCTGCACTAAGACGTAAAAAAGGAAGGAGCAACACTTGGACAGTGGGCTCTGTCACAACAAATCCTTTTGAGCACGTTGTGATCAGGATACATGGTAAAAAGGGGTCGTGCCACTACTGTGTAAAGACCAGAAACTTTACAAAGCTTGGAAGAGGGAGTGAGACAGTGATAGAATGCAATTTGTGGCGTCGGTGGCCTAGTGGTTAGGCTCTCGGACTCGCAACCGTAAGGTCGTGGGTTCGAATCCCGTCAGGGACCCGACGTTGTGTCCTTGGGAAAGGCACTTTACACGAATTTTCCTCACTTCACCCAGGTGGGAATGGGTACCCGGCTATAGACAGCGAAAGATCTTGTCAGTTTGTTAGTGTTTGAGCGCTTAATCGGCTGCTTGCACTGTATGCTTCCCGGGAAGCTGAGAATGTTTCTGAGTGTTCTATGGTCTGCTGGGGTAATAATATAGTGTAAAGCGCATAGAGCCTGCTGTTGAGCGGGGATATGCGCTATACAAATGCTATCTATTATTATTATTATAATTTGGGCCAGGTCAGGCTTTGCAAAAGACTGTGCTGGGTAAAACATCATGAACTTCTGCGGGCATAAGAAGCGGGTTGTGTCTTTTGGGGGTTTTTTTTTCACTTCAGAATTTTTTTTTACCTAATACACAATGATTTTTCATACAAAACCATACATTTTCTTGAAGTTTATTCATTTATCTGTGCTCTGACACCTAAACTATAATTTTAGACTCATCCTCTGATTTTTAATGATTTTAAAAAATAATATAGTCATGCAGTCTAAGCGTAATTAGGTCCCTTTTGCCAGAATTTCAGCCTTGTTGGGCAGGGATAGCTCTGAGGGTGAAAGGGTTAATCTCTTCCTAACTAATCCAGACAGCAAGCTGGTATTTGATAGAAAAGGAAGAAATCTGCATGAGACCCTAAATTACCTGTCATCATCCAGAATCTTGCCCTTGACATCATTCAGTGCTTGCAACAGAGACTTCTCAAGTTGTCTCAGTCTCAGTTGGAATTCACCTAAAAACAAAAATGACAATGTAATTAACAAGATTTGATTTGAACATTGAGCCTACCTATCCACACAAAGATCAAATAGAATCTTGAATTTCTGTCCCCGGTAAACACAGCCAGCATTATTGAACAAATCCGCAAAATGAAAAAGCCTTTATCTACTTTATTATTTTATAGAAAGTCACACTTTTTAAATCCTTATCCTTAAAACAGAAAAGGGCAGAAATTATTTTTAAAAACATCATATTCATAGGAGTCTTCAAACAACATTAAGTCACAGCACAGCGGACATCATCGAAAGAATACCTTGCAGTTTCAGCAGATCAGAGCGCTTTTCGTCAACATCTGGTCTCTCTGCTTTGAGAACCTGAGAAATTATAGTCACAAGATCCGATTTTTAAAACAGTAAACTTCTTCCAAACATTAACATAAAACAATTCAAATAAATCAATATTCCACACTCTCCACCATTTCTTATTCATTATCTTCTCTAATGTGCACCATTGCAAACATTTACTACTCATACAATTTGGTACAGCTCCCAGTTCACTTTGCCATAAGCCTAAAAAAACCCCAAAGAAACCCCAACATATCTGTGCCCTGGTTCCCCTATCATCCACCTGGATAAAAATCCAGTTCATTCCCCTGCATATAATCTTTTTTTTTCTATAAAATCCCAACACTTTGTTCAATCGAAATAGTATTTTTGGTTTTTGTAAAGTGTTTTACGGCGCTCGCAACTGCATAAGGTCATATGAGCGTGCGGGACACACCTAATATTTTCAGTTGGTAGGAAATTTTGAATTTTGCCCGGGTGGCGGCCGAAGCCTACTCTTATCGATTTTAGACCACCAAGGGATCTTTAACGTGCGCAACTTGCACACGGGCCCTCTGAGATTTTTCGCCCTTGTCCGAGAAGGCTAGGTGTAGAAGAAAGACAGCAGTAAGGAGGAGCCAAGGAGTAACAGTAGAAAGGCTGCAGAAAGAGTCAGGAGCCCAAAGGGGGCAAAGGAGTTGAGGGGGTGGGGGCAGAAAGTGGAAATGAAAGCAGACAACAGAACATTGCTAGAGAACAGGAAAGGAGGTGAAAGGAGACAATTTTAGAGAAGAAAATTTTTGGGTCGCTACCCGGATTCGAACCCGGGACCTTTGAATGAGAGGCCAACACCTTAACCTCTAGGCCACGAGAGCCCCCTCGAAATAGTATCTCTCCAATTCTTTTCCAAACGTAAAATAATGTTGCCATAAGGTTGATATGTAGCTTTATATGAAAGACAAAAGATTATTCCCTTGACAAGTTTTATAACGAAAATAAATTCTTTCACAATCCTAGAAGTGCGAATGATAATTCTCACCTGGTTCAAGCACTGACTCTGCAAACTGCTACGGGTGACAGTGAAGTTGACAAACGTGACACGAGAGCAGAGGTCAGGGGCAAACTCCACCTGGAGAAGACGGAGTGATATCCATGAACATTAACACATTCATACAATCTACTACAGAAAAAATAGCCAAATATTTTATAGCTGTGCACACCATAAAAGCATTTTAAAAAAGAAATAAAATATACATAAGGAAGCCAGGGTACAAGAAGCACATAATATTTGATCTCTTTTGACGCAAATTTCTCTATTGCGAAAACTATAACACAAATGGAAAGAGATTAAATTGTACGGGGAAAATAATCTCATATTGTCTATATATCCTACATCATGATAGGCTCATCCAAAGAAAATTAAAATTTGATTAAATAAATCATCAGCAACATTCCACAACTGCCTCAGCAATTTGTTGCGGTTAAAAGAAAACTTAAGAAAATGTGAGCCAAATCAGAATTGGACAACGATTTTTTTTTCCAATTAAAACCTGGGAAAGAAATAACGGTACTAAACAGAACGACATTGTAAAATACCCTTTGATATCTTTATTCGAATAATGGCTCTATCTGGAAAACCCCCAAAAATGTACTTGAGTAACTATGAAACGACGCCAACAATATGTCTCATCTTGAAGTAAAAATGCAATAGTTTTTATGCTGGCTTCAATTCCTAATTTGAGCTTAACCTCTCTACACATTCAACATTACAGACGTGTAGGTGGAAACAACACCAATTCATCAAAACAGACACTTACGTTGGGGTCTCGGGTGGTCAAGAAGATGGTGAAAGAGGGAGACAAATCAATATCTTGGTCTCCCAGAGAGATCAGGACACGGCCACCAGTGCGGCGCAACTCTCTGTTCAGAACTGGGTTCAATATGGGATCGTAATTCTCCACATCCTAGAGAGGTAGACCAAAAAAAATTAAAAGTAAAATCATTTTTGTTACTTTGAACTGTGGAAACAGATTGACGTACAATTATCCTTTTAAAAAAGACAGCTTTGTCCTACTTTGAAAAAAAAAGCAGACAGCATTTACTCTGGACTGATACACAAATTAAGACCATGATCCTGTCAAACCAAATCAAATCTTTCAAACAAAAAAAAGAAAACGAAGTCGAAGCTTCCAACATTTCAGTTTTCGTACATATATCAAAAATGCTTCCCTATAAACTCAGACAATGGATACCTTCAGGCTTTATGTTAAGAATAAAAATAAGGGCGACTTCAAAGCTATCTTAAAAGTTTGTCTATAAGAAAAAACTGCACCACTGACCTGTACCAGGAGGGGATTACCAAATCGCAGAGCACTCTCAAGGTTCTTACGGAATGCATCGTCCAAGAAACTGTAAGATTTAAAAACAAGAACTGAAGGAAAATCTCACATTATCACACATACACTTAAAGGAGCTATTAGACCCAAGAAAAACAAAACCTTACGATAATCTTCATCAAACCTAAGGGAGACTCTTACAAAATGAACATGTACAAGCCACTGGAGACTTGACCATCATAACAAAGGCCACCACCAACCCAAGGTGGACACATAAGAAGTTTTAAACTTTCTACACTCTCTTAACACATGTCAGGTTATTGGACCAATACCATTATCCCACCACAAAACAATAAAAACAAAACAATCTGTTGTCAGGAAATACTTGATGTTAAAAACTGGAAGAAAAAAATCTTACTGATCACACTGGTGACACTGTTGATAAGTTCAAACCAATATGAAATCTCTTTGGAAGACCCAAGACACAAAACTTGCTTTAAAAAGGAGGGGGGAAAGGTATTGAGACTATCTATAACATCAATTAAAAAGTAGACCTGGTCTTAGTGATCTTCCTCTCCTTGAACTCATTCATGATGAACTCTGTAGCCTGCCCGGACGGGTCAATGATGAGTGGGTATCTGTTGAAGCGCTTCAGCATGATGGCGTTCTCAGTGCACAGTTCGTCCGTGGGCAGAGCATTGGCCTGCCACTTCAGTCTCTCATCAGCATTGGACAGATACTGTAACAGGCATAAGGATAAACAATAAATGTTTTTCTTTCCATAGAAAATGGCTGGAGGTCAAATAGATAAGACTGCTCCTGCTACACAAAAGGAAATGAAAATAGTCCATCCTACTCTAACGGCCACCTGTCCAAGATAATTTCCTGTACAAACGACCACTTGCAATTTCCTCCTTTGTATTTTTTTAATGTAATGATACTGTCGATGATATCCACATGTCTAAGACAACTGCTTTTCTCCTAAAAACTTCATACGAACGCAAGCAAAACAAATTGGAGTTACTAACTTTTTCTTTTGCAAAGGTAACGATGTCCTTAAATCACCCTATAAAAAAGTATCCTCCAAATGATAGCTCTTTGAAAACCAATGCTGATAATGATTTCAACAAGTACATCTACAACCATGACATTATGGCCATCACAACTGACCTCTGTCTTTGCCAGGTCTGTCCTGAACTGGATGTTGGCTTTCTGCAAGTGTTCACACCAGTTGGAGAAGAGAGTGTGCCTCATGAGCTGGTCAAAGTATCCTGAAGGTATGAAGAAAGAGAACATCAGTGAGAGAGAGACTCTTGGCAACGTTCTTCTTGTTCATGCCATCTATTTCATTCTTGGATTACAACATCTACTCCAAGTTCACACCTAAAAAGATCACTTAAAATATCTTCAGATAAGAGTTTACTTTGTCATGACCAAAAGCCCAATATCTAGCACTGGACTCAAATTCAATACTGAGCATTTCTTTTTATATATAGTTTGTGCGCACAGTACACAGGGCACGAGTACCTCATGAAAGTCGTGACAAAACACCACATCGAAATTTTTAAAATTCATGTCACTTTAGGTTCAGGCCTGAGGTATAAAATTATTCAAACCTCAAGGACCGCATCATTCCACCATAATAAAGACATTTGTATCATCACCTCCTTGAGCATATAAAACAAATGAAAAGTACCCAGTAAAAGAATACTTACCACCATAAGCCATGAAAGCAGAAGAGAGTAGAACATCTCCAATGATGGTGGCCATCTGGTTCTTGAAGGTCTCGCTTCCAGCCTCCCATCTGAGCTTCTCACTCGTCAGACTGTTCAACAAAGCAACACTGCGCTCCACCTGGACAGTTCACAACAGTCAAACATTGAGCAACAAACATTTAAACAAGCATAAAAAAACTAATGTGACAATCATATCTGCATCAACAAAATGTAGAGAAGAAACTATAAATCCAAGTATGTGTTAAGTCCCATGATGTCAGATGGAACACTTGAGGTCAAATTGAGTCTATATTCAGGACGTACATAAATTAAACTTGGGGGATTACATCAAATAAAGGAACATTTTAAAAGCAAGATTACAATCTGAAACAAAGACTTTCTTAGAATCCAAAGCAATCAACACATCTAGATTCAAAGCTGAAAATAAAACTACATTTGCTTTGACAAAATATAGAAGACTAAAATACCTGCAGCACTTGCCTAAAATAAAAAAAATGTCAACAAAACACCATCACTGAACATACCTTAGCTTCCACAGCAGCCAAATCAGCCTTGATGGCCTGGGCCTGGCTGATGAGCATGGCGTACTCCTCCTTGTACTTGGAGATGCTGCGCTCCAGCTCCACAACGAGCTTGTTCACCTCCTCTCCCTTAAGACGGTTCTCCTCCGCCTGGTTCTCCAGGCCACTCAACTCATTGCGCAGAGGTTCAATCCTCTTCAACATTTCAGCATACTGGATCTGAGGACAGCAGTTAGTCAGTGGTATTAGCTTGATTCCAAAGACTAAAGACATTCCACTGCCTTGAGGAAAACAAACTACATTGAGACAGGCACATTGCATAGAGAGACACACAATTAGAGGTGTAACAAGGTGTTAACATACACAAAAAAGGAAGGAGAAGAAATAAGGACGATAGACATTTGATATGAAGGAAGGAACAAGCAACACCAGAGCACCCGCCAACCACTTAAGAATGACTTTATTCCAATGACCAAAGACATTCCACAACCTTGAGGCAAATGCACTATGTAGAGACAGGCACATTGCTCAGAGAGAGACACACTATATGAGACAGAAACAAGTCAGCCAAGAGGAACTGTTACAGAAAATGCTACTATAGACACTTTCAAGAGCAAAGTTTGTATTTTTTACAGACATAATGGAATTGTACTCGAAACACTGCTTCCTAAACATTCAAGTTGTGATAGCAGCAAGCATAACTAGCATAACATAGTAAGGTGAAGTAAAAGGGAAAGAGGAGACCATATCAAAGCACTCGCTAGAAAGAAAACAGGACTACAGATAGGAATATTAATGACAAGGGCACCAATAAAAGTGGAATTTTAACTTTTATTTCAATTTCTATCTGCAAGGCTGTAAAGATGAGTTCCCATGAGCCATCAGACCACTTGGGTTGTTTGAGTGAATAGAAGTATAATGACATATTCAAAGTCATTTCGTACGATGAAAAAGCAAGAGTGATTTTCATTATCAACAAAGAGAAAAGTAAAGCAGAAGAACCTACCAGTGGCATCATTGAACCATTAAACGAAAAGGCCACAAACAGGAGTAGCAATGACAAGGCATATGGAATGTAGCAAAAGTGAATATCAACAAGCAACCACACTCATTGGTTGTACATCATTTCTAGTCCACAAAATATTTTATTGTAAAAGAAGAATAAAGAACCTGTTGACATGATACAAGTGCACTGATGGACAAGTAGTGGCAAACATTTTGACAGAAAACAGCCCTGAAGAGATTTTCCTAAGATTACCTGAGCAATGGCCCACTTGACCATGGGTCCACAAGCCAAACTGGCCCTGTTCACCTTCTCGTAGTTGTAGTCAGGGTTGTTCAAGTACTTGGTCTTCATCTTGTTGCGGATGTCATCCCTATATCGTCAGAAAACAAGAAATGAAGCTCTGTCCGCGTCTCTTAGCTGTTGTGTACAGAAAGTCCCTGTTCTAACAAATACTCCAGAGAGCATACAATGTACCATAACACCAAGGTGATAGCATTTAAAGAGACTAATCTTTCTATGTCACTACTTTACAAAGAAACAGCAAGCCTTTCGTTTTGGAAAACTAAACTCTTGGTAGAGAATTTATTGTTTAAGTTTTAATTCTATTTTTATTGCACCACCAACACAAAAGTGTTGTAACAGTGTCGAAGATTAGAGGTGTTACTCAAGAAGTAACACACAAAGAAAACAAGGAGGAGACATAAAAAAGATAGATGTTCCATAAGTAAAACAGAACAAGCCCTACCAGAACACCCACTAGTCACTCTCTCAATAGCATGGGTGCTTTTTTTAAATGATAAAAACCTATCCATGGAGAGTGTAAAAAAAAAGGCAGTGATTATCTCTTCATTTCCCCCCCTTTTTTTACTTCCTTGAAATACTTCTATCCTTTCTCCTTGTTGGAACGCTGAATAGATGCCCATCTCCTCCGGCACATGCCATTTGTGACAAACGACTGCAATGCATTTCTTTTTATGTAAAACTTGATTCGGTAACTAGCAATCTTACAAGGCCTTTCCGAAAAACCTTAATTTCTCTGAAAATACAACCCCACATTGGAAAGAGAATAAATATGACAATCCACGACAACCAACTTTAAAACATCAATGTTAGGAAGTCAAAGGCCATGAAATCTCAACGAAAATCAATTGGGTTTCCCTCAAGAAGTATGTGTATGGAATGAGTGTTTAAATATCACTGCATTCACTCGTGCTTGACAGATTATAGCAGATGGTAAAATACAAAGTAAACTGTACTTAAAAAGATTTTGAGTCCAAAGGCTTCTTGGGAAAATCTAAATAAGAAATATTTTTCTCGTGTCTACAGAACTGCACGATGCCCACCACATTGGTATCTTAAATTAATATATTAAAATGGCATATTGAAATGACAAATCCACGTTACAAGAAAACAAACCAGCAGATCAAGTCAACCTAGAACCACTTAAGTCCTAGGTCGAAATAATCAGTTCATGATGGTATTCTTTCAGCCAAGGAAGGGAAAGCTGAGAGCTGATTCACCTTATATGAAAAGACTCCAACAGTACTGCACGTAGGTAATGACAACAACAAAAAGCTAGGCAATGGTATGGCTCTTTCAAAAAGGACATCCAGAATCTTGATTTTATGACTGCATACAAATAATAGTTTACACCAAAAAAAATTTGGTAGACATAGGTGCTTTCATGCCCCCATTGACACAATTTAGATCATTTAGGAGGCAAGCTTGAGCGCCCTGCCTACCAGGGCCAACTGGGGCTGAGAGGGTTACAATATCACAGCATTTAAAACCTAGATACTTGATTTAAAAAAATGTTCCACACGCAAGGAATCCTCTCAAGGTCTTCTGGGTGAGAAGGCAAAGCACCTAACCAATACACCACCCATGTTGGAAGCAACGAGAGTCTACCAAAACATCAACTTAAACAACAAAGCCCAAAATTGGTACAAAGTTGTATCTAAGACTACTCATATCTTAACCCTACGGACCTGAGCGTACACCTCAGCCTGCGGAATAAAACTGACAGCCGACCAAAGAGAGCTCATATGCACAGGTTCTTCAGGCTCAGGGGACCAGACCTCAAAGAGTAACATTAATAGATAAAGGATACATTTGAAAAGCGCAAATTCCCGCTCAAAAGCAAGCCTCTATGCGCTTTACAATCTGCGAAGTCTTTACATTTAATATGTAGATTTTACTATCGTCAACGCGGATAGTTACCTGAATGTTAGTAATTTTTACCTGTCAGCACTTGTGTCCTCCTTCATTGAGACTACAACACTCTCGCCAAAGAATAAGAACATGCCACACGATATACTCACGAGATGTCGTCTGTTTTCATGTTAACAATAGACGTGATGAAGCTGTCTTTGATGATGACCTGTCGGATGACCTTCCAGTCCGTGGCGCTCTCTCCCAGCAACAGGCAGATGGCCTCCAGGGCCAATTTGACCACCGGAGGAGGATTACCCATGGACCTGATCTCCACCAAGTCCTTTTTCTTGATGCCCTTCACAGCTGAGAGCAACAGCGAGCAGTTCCAGAGAAGCAGCAGAAGAGGTCACGGAGGTACCAAAACGTGATCACGTTAGCACAGAAAGGCACAGTAGAACAGGGAGTAGTTTTCTTTCAATCAATTTTCCACTACTTTTATATACCGACATACCAATAAGTGCGACCTCACCCAGTGAACTTGGTGCTTCCAAAGGATAATAAAATGTGAGGGTGACTAGGGGCAAAAGGGTGACAGGATAACTCAAAGGGCTAGGAGCATTCGTAACAATACAACTGGGAGAATACAACCAGTATAGTCATGTCAAACGAAATCATTTTTGTTCAACCCATATGTTAAAAAAATTAAAAAACAAAAGTATTGTTATTAAAACAAAAAATTAAAAGAAAAATAATAAAGCATGCATGAGTAATACTTTGATGAACCCAATGATAAAACAATATACAGGAAAAACCAAAATCCCTCCACAGGCTACAACTGATAGCTTTCCATTACACTCATGCAATAAAAACCCATTTCACAAGGCTTCTTCAGGAAGATGATGTTTCACTCACACTCTCAGTGACTATTCACATTGAAAGCAGAAAAAAAGACACGGTGTTGACAAGAAAAAAAAATCAGGTGTCTCAGAAATAAACAAAGTAACACTGAAATGCCTTGGAAATTAACAGATCAACTTCCACTTCAGTTCTTTTTACACTTAAAAAATGACAGCGCGCTTTCTTCAATGAGAAGGGAGGGGAAGGGCAAAGGAAAAATAAGAACCTCTGAATCACAGACAGCGCAACATGGAGGCCAGCAAGGGGTAAACGGACAAGGGGGACTTCACCAACAGCAGCCTTTCTCTACCTACCTTCTGTGGTTGTCATGCAAGCAAAGCCATGGGCAAGAGCAATGGATGTGAACAGCTAAGGCAAACATAAGGAAGCCTCACAGGATGAACACATAACACATTCACCATACCTTTGTCGTTGAGAGGAACACTTCGACATCAAGATTTTCCAGCATCCATGCTTCAGATAATGAAAATCTTAAAAAATTTTTGGTGTCTTTTTGTCACGCAAACTCCACAAATATCTTGATTTTTAAAATATTTTTTTTCTCCTCTCTGAAGCTTCATCTTCACTTACGTAATGTCATCAGTCTTGAAATTGACAATGGTAGAAATAAAGTTCTCCCTCATGATGATGCCTCTCAGAGCTTTCCAGTCCATGTCAGACTCTCCGAGCAAAACACAAATGGATTCCACAGCCACCTTCACAGCCGCAGGGGGATTGTTTAAGGTTCGAACCTCCACCAGATGCTGCTTCTTGATAGACTTCACAGCTGGCATGGACAAAACAGCAAAAGCGCACAGGGTGCACATAGATGGAGGGAGAGCAAGGCAAAATAATAAAAAACAAAAAACAAAATAGTTTGAAACTTAAAATGGTCAGGGCGAAACTGAAACGGTCAAGCTGACAACAGTGAAAGCAACAAGTGCATCCATATCGACATCTATATCATGCACTTCGGTAAAACACTACTCTTTTAAGCACAAAACCCTCAGACCTGAACAAAAAAGTTTTTCCTACACAAAGAACTGCCAGTTAAAATAGATGCACAAAAATGAAACCAAAAATAAAACTTCAAATAAAATCTTAATAATTCCCAAACATGCAATTAAAATTCAGCACCTTAACCTGACCAAGAGAAAAAAGAATGCTATGAATGTTGATGTACTCAGGTTGACCTTCAAGGTAAAAGTTGAAATTAAATTAAGTGCTTTTACTTTTTCCATTATCTTGCTTCACCTGAATGTATTTTTTTACGTTTCATTTCTGTTTCCACCTTATTGCTAAAAAAAACCCAATGAACCTGAGTGAAAATACTTTTGTTCATTTCTCTTTGAATGCTTTTTAAGTAATACAATAAAGATAGAAATTCTTTTAAAGCAAAATAACTTATTAAAGTACTGGAATGTGCGTGTGGTTGTGGGTATGTGGCTACTCAAAATATGCGTGAATAGTACAACAACATGCAACCCATTCACCAAATATTTTCTCTCATCATTCTCTACCATACGATAATAACATGGAATGTACTGTGTATAATAACTAAGTGTGTTTAGGAATGTAAAGTCAGGGATTTGGTAAAACATGGGGAATGGAAAGTATGAGGTCATAATGTCGATATAGAGTAAAGGACAAGAAGGAGGTCATCAAAATCAAATTTAAATATTACCTTCTGATGTCACAAAAGACAGTTCAAAACAAAAACTAGGCATCTTCAACGTGAGGATTTTTGTGTACTTAACAAGTACTTAACAAGTTCACAAAAACCTTAAGATTAAGCCAACCATTGCAATGGAAATATTTTGTTAATACTTGCATAAGCTCTGCTCTGTCTCTGTTATATTTTAGATGGTCAAAGCTTTTGTATTCATAAATCCATCTCAACTCTTTTGTGAAAAATCAGTCAACTTTTTTGTGAAAAATCAGTATGTCAGAGAAGCAGATATTATTCTTTGAGGGTAAGGACAAAAATACAGAAATAAAGCTACAAGTTATTTCTACTCACGGAAGACACCTAGTTTATTGCTGTGGGTTTTCTTCCATTGTTCCCAGTCATATATTGTGTATCAAATCATTTTAAATATCACTAAAGACAACATAATTATATTTCATCTTGCATTTAGAGCAGCAATTTTCCAACTTTATTAAATTATTGGATAACCACAAAATGTTAAAGTTGTATCACGTGATAAAAAGCCTTGTCCATGACCATTTCCTTTATCAAGAAATACAAAGAGTGCCATAACCAAACTATAAATAAATCAAATCACTGCAATCTACCAATAAGTCTATACAGAATTGAAGAGACATTTACAAATATAACTTTTGAAGAAACCAATTGAAGAAAAAGAACATTATTTTAGTTATAACATCTGAGAAAATTACTTTTGGAAAAAATAAATTTTCCAGAAACAAAATCTTTACCCATTAGAGATCATTATAATTATTGCTGCATTTTCTAAACTGATATCAGCAGTTTCTTTTATTTCTTTTACTTTATCTCAGGTAGAAATTTGCCAATCTAAATGCAAAATAAAGATGTAAATGGTAGTCATTAAAAGCCACAAATCTCTCTCTGTCTCTCTGTCTCTCTCTTTCTTTCTCTACCCCCCCCCCCCTCTCTCTCTCTCTCCGTCACTCTCTCTATCTCTCCCCTTGCCACAACACATCTCTTTCACTTGAAACCCAAAAGGGAAAAAGAAAAGACATGAAAATAAGAAAAATGCAGTAAGACTAACTTACCATTCTGTGCCTCAATGACAGCTGGCTCCACCTGCTCCAGGTCTGCCATGACACTGCTCTGTTTCTCCGAGATCACCTTGGTCTGGTCCTTCAGAGCCTGCTGGATTTCCTGAGATGTCACCTTCTTCCGCTCAGCCTCTTGCTGGTCTTTCACCTAAGACACAGCCACAACGATCACCAATTTGTACATGGAATTTTTTACAAATTTCAATCAAACCTGTACCCTTTCATTTCTGAAAAACTACAAATTATACATTAAACATTTTTTTTCCCTTCTGAGAATGCAGCAAGAACATCATGATCGACAAATAACACATGTGAATACATTTCAGTGTTATCAATGGTTTGACTCTGTTACTTCACGGACCAGATAGTGGATAAGCTCTGGGGATAATTTCCTGCCAGTGGAGAAGCATTTGGTCACTAATTGTAACTCTTCCAAGCTAACCTGCAATCTATCATCAACATTGTATTCAATTCAGTGTTTCCTTTTTTCTCCGTACTTGTAAAACTTATAATACTTACTTTTTGCTCAAACTCTTGCTAAATATTTCACAAAGAAACAGGCACCACCTTAGACTTCTGGGATAAACTAAGACTAGTGGCCACCTTCCTCTCCATACACAACTGATGTACAACAAGAGCTGGAAAATTCTGTCATGGAAAAAGGTAATAACCCTAATCAGATCTTTATAACAGAACTCCTACCATCTGCTTGAGCTTGGCGTTGGCAGCGTTGTTCTTCTCCTCCAGCTCAATCCTCTTGATGGACAGCGACTTCTGCAGTTCCTCCACCTGCTCCACAGTCTCGTGGATCTTCTGCAAACCCACATTCAAGTGAAGCTGTTGCTCCTCCAGGTCAGAACGCTTCTCGTTGTACAGCTTAGCCTGACATACGTAAATAAATTTAGTATAATGGCATTTGCAACACAAATAGGATAAATAAGAGCCAAAGATTATGTTCTAGTAAGTTTTATGCCACTTGCAACACAATTAGGTCATACAAGTGCTGAAGATAAGAGGTGTTGCAAGAGAGTAACAAACATAAAAAAGAAGAGATGACAACGATAGATGTTGGATAGGCAAGGAGGAGCTAACCACACCAACCACCCACTCCAAAGATTAGAGGTGTTACTGGAGAGTAACAAGTAAAGAAAAGAAGGAGGAGAGATAAGGACAATACATCTTTCATAGGAAAGAAGAAACAAATCACACCGGAGCACCTGCCAACCACGCACACAAACAAACAAAACAGAAAGTTTTCATAGAGCTCAATTCATAGAGCTCAACAGTGAATTGAAGCATCAAGAGCAAGAAGGAGACAAAGACGTTCTTTTCCATAAGCTACAGCTTATCATCACCGTAGCACCCGTAAGGCAGGACCAAACAGTTACTCAATTTTTTTTTTGTGACAGACATATTTCTTTCATACTCAACACCTATGATGAAGTGCCAGCCTGAGGTCAAAATAAGGGCATCAAATGGAAACAAAATGGCCAACACATAAAAGTCAGAAATCTGACGGCCATAATAAAAAGAGTTACTATTACAGGCAATTGCAGAACTGCTTCTGTCTACCAGTACTATTGTCAACTGCTGTGTAACAACAGTAATCAAAATCACAAATACTAAAACTAGCTCCATAGTTGTTATCATCAGCATTAGGATGCCAGAAACATTCTCAAACACTTTCTCTCTCTTAAGAATTGCTTTCGAATCCAGGACAATGTCACACAGCCATGCAAAAATACTATTAAAAAGGTGTAATAGCAAAAATATCATATTCATTGCAAGCACAAGCAGAAATGAGGATGGCTGGCATAACAAAATTATCTGTTGCCTTGTTTTCATTCTAAATTATCTCCAGTTGGACGTTACCCAGATTTAAACAAGCAAATTGGTTTTATGAAATCTAAAACCAAGAAATTTTTACAAATAGGACAGCATACAAATGAACAGTGTTAAGGTTAAAACAAATTTATGAAAACAGTATTTGTAGTTTAACTTAGCACTCACAAAGTGGTGAATGAAGTCCAGGTAATGTCTGGGAGTGATGGCCATGACACGGCCACTTCTGCGCGCCACTTTGGAGTTTGCCTGATGCAAAGACTGGTGCACATAGACAAAGCTGTCGATGACGGCCTCTCTGTGGGATGGTGAGGGTGTGAGGTTCTCGTAGGCGGCAGGGAACATGTCTGGTGGCTTGTACTGGGGACGGACAGCATTGTGGAAAGTAAGTACAAGGTATCAACACGGTCATGAGAATGGCACAAAAGCCAACTCTTTGAAAACATTCTACATCAGACTTTTTTTTTTAAAAGATCTGTTTCTCTTTTTACTATTGCTGTCTAATACAATCTAAGAGTCTGAATTATAAACATGTCTTAAGGGAAAGTTTTTAGGGCAATACTCAATGAATACATGATACAAAGCACTATGTTCCCTTACCACATACTGAAAAGCTTGTCGGGAACCTCAGATATGGTCAGCTTGCGCATCACACCATGGATACAGTGTTTAGTACAAGAGAGGCGATAAATTGGAGTAAGGTGAGCAAAGGTTATCTCTAAGTAATAAAGAAAATGAAGTATTTTTTTAACATCTGAAAAATTGCCAGTCTATTTTCGAGGATGATTTTTAGAGAGTGAACCATCTTGCAATGTGCTGTGTTTGACAATGTAGAAAGAAAAACAAAAAGAGTACGAATTCAACTTACAGATCCCTTTTCCAGGTCCACTTTGTTGGTGAACTCCTTTCCAACTTGGTACAGAGCTCCATTGGACCAGTCACCAAACCAATTCAGGACACATCTGGAGAAATGATCACAAAACGTTTGTTAAGTAAAATCCATGAAAGCAAAATTACTTTACTGCATGTGAGTTTAAATGTGGCGGCAGTGTGATGAAATCAGGCAAAATTCTGTTGTCTCATGTCAGGGTTGAAAACATATATAAATTACAGGAAAGCTTTCTGTCCAGTGAGCAGCTAGCACAGATTAATGCTTACAGCATTTCTTGCTCAGTCAACCAGTTTGCCAAGATTTATGCACAAACGGTCAGCAGAGTAAAGTAGGGGCTACTTAAGTTGAATTCAGGGAGCTTAGTTGTCCAGCGATCAATGTAGGAAGACAAAGCAGAAAATGTTGGGAGATAGGAAAGAAAAAGGTCTCGTTCATATTACCCTCCACTAACCTGCAATGCCTCGACAGATGAGAAAAAAACTGTAAAAGAAACAAAGTCACCAACCTGTTGAACAAAGCAGGAGAAGTTGCTGCTCTGTCCTTGAGACCCTCAGAAGATGGGTTCATGGTGAACACCACGTGAAGGTTTCTGATAACCTAATAACAGGGAGGGGATAAAATCATGAACAGCATGTGCATGTCTCTGGCAACCTCAATAATAAAAAAAACAATACCATAGAATTGATCTACCCATATGATTTCAATGAGTGGAACAGTTTCAACACATGACCTAGTCTTGAACTTATTACGACAGTGTTCTATGAAATTCGGTCTTGAACTTGTTATCGACTCAATAACAGACACTGAGTACAGGGAAAAAGCAAAACCCTCTACTATAAAAAAAAAAAAAAAGGAAAAAGCAAGAAAGACAGGCTGAAACAAAACAAGGATAGAAAAACTTATCAGTGGTGCCCTACAATCTCCCTCAACAAGGAAGTGCAGTGAACCATAACAGAGCACCTGTCACCCACCACCTACCAGTTTATCTGTCAATACACTATTTTGCAATTAGAAACAATTTGAGAAAAAGAAGCTATCAAAGGGAAATTTTCTCAAAGGAATGTAAAATAATAAAAAGAACTCTTTCAAAGAGTAAAAACTTTCATGTCTTTCATATCTTCATATATTTTCAACCTAGCATAAACCCAAATTACATCACAACTTACAAACCTCCACCAGAGGTTTTTTTCTTCTTTAGTATGAAAGATTTTCAAGGGACTGGAACTTGGAAAAAGGAGGAGAAAGAAAGTCCATTTTACGAGCAACGCTCAGGATGAAGAGAAAAATAAAGTTACCTGAGAGGTGAACCACTTGTAGAGCTCCTCGGCAGAGTCCAGCATGTGTCCCTCTCTGATGGCACCTTCCTTGCACTGAGTCATCAGTGTGGTGTACTCGTCGCCCTCAAACAGGCCCGGGACTTCTCCGTTGGCCAGCAGTGTGTTCATCCTCTCCAGGAAGCTCGAGTCCAGGACGTTCGACTCGTCCATGATGAAGCAAATTTTTTCTGCCTAGAAAATAATCAAATAAAATTTTGAGTTTTGAGTAGGAGTTTTACAGCACTTGCTACACAAATAGGTCAAATGGTGTATGTCCCTCATATTAGAGGTGTTACTTCAGAGTAACATACAAAGAAAAGAAAAAGAAGAAATACGGACGACAGATGAGTGATAAGAAACAAGGAGAAAGCCACACGTGTGATCATCCACCGACCTCCTACAACTGAAATTTACAGTGGGGAGAACCTCAAGCACACTTTGGCTTACTATATATATTTATAAAATACATACAATAAATTATCATTGTTACAAATTACATTATGATATACAAATAGCACACAAAGAGATGGTTTAATGTTGCAACAAATAGGAAAACATTTCCTTTCCTCTTCTCCCCTTATTGTTCCCAAGCCCCTCCCCTCCCCCCCAACCTCAAAACCTCTTGGGGTCAACTTCTATGTAACACAAAGGCTGTGCTTAAAGCCCTACATAGACCTCTGTTAAACATACCAGTATAATAGACAATTCATAGTACAAATAATTAGCAGATTTGTAACTCAAAAGTGGTTCCCTCACCTTACATCCAGCCCTGCGAAGTACGGACCGCAAGTCCTCATCAAACTCGTTGGCCGTGTACTTGTTGTGCACCTTGATCTGGACCACACTGAGGGCATTCATCCACGCCACAAAGCGGGACAGGGTGGTCTTTCCTGAGCCACTGACACCAATCAGCAGCAAGTGGCCCTGGGGCTGACGGAAAATCCTGTCAATCCTCAACACATGGTCAAGAACCTCGTCAAAGAGTACGAGTGGCACATCCAACTCTTCTTCGTAGAACACCTGGGACAAGAGAATCAGTGGTTCTGAATCACTTGAATCACGATATCAAAAGAACACATCATACACTTCAGTAACTTCAACACATCACAGACAGCTCATCATTTATCAATTACAATGCTAGGAAAAGTATAACAAAGTAAAAGTCTGTTGTCTCAATGTCTGGAAGGACACAACAGCAATACAGTCTACCAAGACTTTTGCAACCTTCAAGAGTAAAAATGTATAAATCTCCAACTTTATTGCTTCGAGACACGAAGAATAAGTTTCTTTAAATTCAAGATTAGACTAAGATATTTATTGATTCTCCATTGCACACCATCATAAGAACCTAGTAGCTTGCTACTGCTACTGGCAAAAAGTATACCTTGAGCCTGGCCTTTGTGTGCTCCCGGAGCTCCTCCCTGTCCACAGGCATGTAGTCCTTGGACAGCCACTTGCTGAACAGGATGGGTCTGCTCAAGGCTTCTTCCCTGTTGATGCTTGGGAAATGCTTCAGAGCTGTGGCATCCACATTCTGGTCAGTCCAAAGTCTCTCTTCATCTTCAATCAGTCTGGAAAAGGAGAGAGTAAAGATTTGTTTAAAAATCAAGTTACGAGAAAAATGCTTAAGCCCAATACTTTATTACTCACCAGGAAAAGCAAACAAACGAATTAACCTAATTTTTTTAACAACAGCAACAATGTGGCATCTTCAAATGCATGCGGTTCTACTGAGACATAAATGTATTGCAATCAACTAAAGAGTTATATTATGTAATAACTGAGCAATCTGAGTAGACAGAAGGAACATTGTTAAAATCAGACCAGCCATAAGAGTTAATGATAAGTCACGTGCCACTCTGATTAAAAAGGACACAATATAAAAACTATCATTTAAACTTGTACCTTACATATTTTACTCATAATTTTGTTGTCTAAATGACTTAATTTCAGAACAAAAATTAAGTACATTTAATGCAAAAGCACCAACACAGTATCATTTTTAAGTAATTGTACAAAAGGAAAAATTGGAAAAATCAAATTAGACAATTCCTTTCTATCAATTTGAAAGGCTTATAAAAATACAGAAAGATTCCATTCAAAATGTTATATTCTGCATAATTCATTGAAGCTCTGCCTTGCTTTCTCTCTTCTTCCCTTTGCCAATATGTAGGAGTTGTTCTTTCATGTTACTCTCACAGAATATAGATACCTGAGTAATTTTTTTCAACTCTGTTACTAAATCTGTTAATTTTTTAAACACAGAACATCCATGGCTACTGACCTGTCCTGGAAGAGCCTCAAAGCCTCGTGGGCCCAGATGCGCACAAGACCTTCCAAGCTGAGGGTTTCGAGAGGCCTGAGAGCCTCACAGATGCCGCGGACCCAGCGAGTCATCTCACGGGGACTGTAGATGTAGTGCGGCTGCATGTCTTGTGTGAAACGATCCTGACAAAAACAACAACACAAGATTACTCCACAGTAAAAGCAACTCAAACAAATGCAATGCTGTCATATATAAAGAGAGCAAGTTTTTGTAAAACTAATATATTCACTACAAGGACAATTTTTTACAGTGTACTGTAGGAATTTCCTAAAAGAATTTGGGTACCAGTGAGTACAAATTACTCATGGCATGAACTACACACTATCAATAACATGATGACGCAGAACTTAACAGCAAGGCGATGTAAAACTTATTAGTGTAATGAAAATGAATCTTCCAGTGAAAAGACAAAAAAGATATATAAATTACACACGAGAGGACAAAGAACTTACCTGTGACATGATGTAAAACTCCACCATAGCGTTGGTGAGGGGATCGGCATAGGGCTTCAGACTGGGCACAAGGCGCAGCATGGCGCGGTTGAAGGTGCCGTAGATCTGCTTGAGAGACAACTCTCCTGGGTAGTCCACATACACCACAGGGACGTGGCGGAGGAACCTAAACAACAGAAGAAAAACACACACACACATACACATAGAATCAATGATTGCCCATCTCAGGAAAGCCACCTCAAAGTACCTAAATTTCATCAGAATGTAATGAAAACAATATGTCAAAAATTAGAACCTTATGCAAGACAAAAGCTATCACACGAAAATATTTTAAAAAGAAGAAAAAACCCACAAGATTTCCAGTAACCTTTTACACCTTCATCATTCACTTACATCTCGAGTAAGTTCACTCCGAAATGACATTAAGACTCTACTTCAGGCATAATATCAAGAAAACGAAGGTCAAAAACAAAACAAATAGAAAAGGACGAAAGAACACAAAAATCCTGCTATAGCATATGAGCCAGCAAAGAGGAAAACATTACGCCTAAGTTGGAGAACATAAAACTACAACAACTGATTGTAATTATTTTATTAACTTCATATTAAGAAATTTCATAACTTTGTCACATTTTATGTCTATAAATGGGCACAGAAGAGTGAACGCCCTCAGAAACAACCTAAGAAAGAAAGTCTCAGAAAAAAATCACTACAGGTTCTCTTTTTATTCTCACAAATAAGCAGTTTTAACTTGGAGACACTCACCTGTAAGACAAAGGCTTTCTGCCTGGGTCAGTGGGGGGGTTACAAGCACCAACAAACTGGATGCGCTCAAACTTGACCCATGCCTGGTCAGATGTGCGGTAGAAGCCTCCATGCTCCATCATTTGTCTCAAGAATGAAATGACACGCTGTGTGCCTGGAAATTAAGTACAGTTTCTATTGTACAAAGTCAAAACGGTAACCAATTTGAATACCTACTTTTTACAAACCCCTTCAAGCACAGTATCCATAGACATGAGTTATAATATCCTATACCAGGCACTGACACTGCCGCTGCTCTTTGTTCTCAACAAAAATTTTGCTGCCCTGGTAAGCGCCATAGGCGGGTGAATGAGAGACAAAACACCAGTCTCGCAAATGTCAGGTGTATGTGCAACCTTTCCCTCCTTGCCCTTTATTTGGTTCCAAATAAGAGTCAGATGGTGCCCTCCACGGTGAACCAGATATTAATACATCAGAATGAAATCGTTGCCAACAAGGGTATGGGTAGGGTACACTCAAGCATGTGAACAAGTCCATACTTCTTTTTTTTTTCTTTTAATAGTAGAGGGTTTTACAGCGCTCGCAACTGCATACGGTCATATGAGCGCCAAGGGGTGGGTGTCAACAGAGAAGTCTTTACAGAGAACCAGACTTAGACTGCTCACCTCTCTAGCTTAAACAGCACAAAGTCTGCTTCGACTATCAAGGCAACCCAAAATAGCAGGTCACAAGAGAGTGACAAACATACAAAAGAAGTAGAGGAAAATGACAATAGTAAGGATCAGGAAAGAAAAAGCAGCAGTTCCCTGTTGTAGATCAGGCACAGTTATGAGCGTGACATGAATCAGCCCATTTACAATTCTACTATGCTTAAACGAGAAATGTCCCCCCTTTGGGAATGGCCTAAAGACACTTCAGTCAGTGGCACTGCCCCGGGGGGGGTGGGGGGGGTGGGGGGGTCCATACTTCCATTCAAACATATAATGGTGGACCTTTATAAAAGGTGTACAGAGACTAAACTAACTTAACATCTTTGTGTTTCCCTCACCATAGCTGTCCATGTCTGGCAGGTTGATCTCATCACAGAACAGGACCAGCCACTTGTTGAGCTGTACAGGAGACAAGACAAGACCATTGGGCGTCCGCCGGAACTCGCAGTAGTGGTCAAATGTCTTCAAGAGCAGCTCAGGGGTGGTTGCACTGGAGAAGTTCAAGCCTACCACCTGACAAAAAAAATGTTAAAGGTGAATAATGAAACACGATGTGAAAGAAAAGGTATAACAATGAAATCAGAAAATATAAATCTATAAAGTGGTGAGCAGATATACAACATAGCTGAGCCCTCACAAAGGCATAAAAGGAGGCTCAAGGGAAGGAGGTGCGATATTATTGGGAAAAGAAAGCATAAAATACTCCTTTGCATAATGTTTTTTTCTGTAGAAGAAATTCTCGAAGTGTTTAAAATACAATATTTCTAAAACACTCTATAACATCAAATAAACATACTGACAGCAAACAACCCAACCCCCACCCCCCCCAAAAAAAAACCCAGCAAGAAGAGAGATCAGTTTGTACAAAGTACTCACCTCCTAGTTTAGTTTTAGTAAGGTTTTTACGGCGCTCGCAACAGCATAAGGTCATATGAGTGCCAAAGGGAATCAGGCTTATTCTGCTCACCTCTCTAGCCTCAACAGCACAAAGTCTGCTTCGACTATCAATGCACCCCCGAAATAGCGGTTCACGAGAGAGTGACAAACATTAAAAAGAAGTAGAGAAAAAATGACGATAGTAAGGATGAGGAAAGAAAAAGCAGCAGTTCCCCCTATGTTGTTCCGGAACAGTATGAGCGTGACATTGATAAATCAGCCCATTTATAATTCTACTGCGCATAAGAACATGTTAATATCCCCCTTTTGGGAATGGCCTAAAGATATTCACCTCCATGTCGGGAAGAGCTCTGAGAGCACTGAACAAGGTCATGGTCTTTCCTGAGCCGGGCGGGCCGCACAGGACCAGAGGCTTGTGCTCGGCCAGCCAGGTGTAAAGCAGGCTCTCGTGTCTCACTGTGTCAATGGTGGGGATGACCACGTCCGGGGCGGCCACTTTGTGGGTCTCAACCTCCACCTGGGGAACCTTAGACTGCCAGGGGGCCCACTCTCCAGTCACCGCCACCTGCATCATGGAAAGGACGATAAGTGCGAGTTTGCTTACGAGAAGCACATCAACGTGAAAACAACCATTTGGATTTGGAGCGGGGGGGAAATCAAAATTGACAGACAGAAATAACACAAAAAGAACTTATAATGAGAACAAAACTCCTTGTCCGTGCGAGAACATTTTTTTTTTAAAAGACACACCATTTTTCTGTTCCGTTTTTGTACTCTTTGCCTACCAAGTAAATTCACCAGGAATGGTTTTCCCTATCAAAAGAAAATTTGGGAACTTTCAAGCTAAAATTTGTATACTGAGACCAACCAAGTAAGAGTGACAATTCTAAGTCTCTGTCTACAGCTTATCAGTTTTTTCTCTCTAAGCCCTTGTTTGATTGTTTGCCTTCTTTAACCACACCCTTCCAGACCATACGCAGGTTTTGATCTATCACTCACATAGTGTGTCTGTGTGGAGGTATTTAGCTGTGGAAACAGAGTCCAACTTTCATCCCCGCCAGTATCAACTGAAAGAAAATCTTCCTCTGCTTCACTAGCAAAATGTAATCAAACTCAGCATTACTTTCAATGTCTACTTCTTCACAATCATCATTCATATAAAACTCATTCAACTCCTCTCGGCTGTGTGGGATCACTTTGCCACCCTACCTTACATTAAATACCAACTGATCTACATTCAAATGAACTCTAAAACAGTTTGACTTGGGTGTACGATCTTTGAGTACTCTCCCAACATTATATTTGCAAGGGAAACCACCATAATAATGTGACTTTATTAAAAGTATCACTTCAAATGGAGAGTCTTTGCTTGCAGGCATTCACGGAGGAATTGGACACAAATGGATACTAATGTACAAGAGATAACGTGTCAAGAGAGTGAACCATCTTGCTGTGTATTATCTCAACCTGTGGTCTGTTATTATTGCTGTTGTCATTACTGATATTATTGATCCATCAACAGCAAACCTGTGATATAATTTAAGCATTCTATTTGAAAAAAAGGTGATCCACACACATACCTCAAAGTCAATGATGGGCACGTTGGTGGCAGGAGGCAGAGGGATGGTTGTAACGCTCCTAATGAAGTCGCCCAACTCTTGCCTCACTTTGATGCGGCTGTCTCCCGACATGGACCACAACAAACTGTGCACCAAGTACTTGGTCATGTACTGCTCCATCTGGTCTTGCTGTGTACCGAAATAAAAATATTGAGATAAAACTTTATTATAAACATTCTCTTTCATCAACAAAAGTGCAAGTTTCATGAGAACAAATAATAGGTGATGATGAAGACAAAGCATACAGACTCTTCCCATTTCGATCAGAGAGAGAGAGAGAGAGAGAGAGAGAGAGAGAGAGAGAGAGAGAGAGAGAGAGAGAGAGAGAGAGAGAGAGAGAGAGAGAGAGAGAGAGAGAGAGAGAGAGAGAGAGAGAGAGAGAGAGAGAGAGAGAGAGAGAGAGAGAGAGAGAGAGAGAGAGAGAGAAGAATGATGAGCCAAATGTTGAAATATCTCTAAAGTCATATTGGTATAAACTATGACATTTTTAATATCACTGATATTATCCTGATAAATAGACAAATGTATCAGCTCAACAGGTCAAAGCACAGCCAACTGCGGCAGAACTTACAGGCATGGCAAAGTCATGTGTGTGGTTGTATGTCAGGATGTTCCTGATGCCCTGGTTGAGCATGGAGAAGAGAGAGGTGAGAGCCCGGAGCCTGGTGAAGTCCATGATGTGGTCAATGGTGAAAGCGTGCTCAAGACACCGGTTCACCAGACCACCCAGAGAGAAGTATGGCTGAAGGATAGCCACCACATCTCGCTGAATCTGAAAATAAATAAACAATGTCGTCATTTATCGGTTTCTTCAAAAATAAAAATAGTAGACCCCAAAAAAGGTGTGAAAGGGGACTGAGGATTTTTAAAAAAAGATTTAGTGAGAGATTTACAGCACTTGCAACATGGCAAGGTCATATAAGTGCCAAAGATTTGAGATGTTACAAGAGAGTAACACATTCAAAAAAGGAGGTGAGCTGAGGACAATAGATGCTGGATAGGAAAAAAGTTCAAATTTTAAAGAATGGCTGAAATCAGTATGTCAAAAAACAAACGTAACACTGCAGAAAGATGTCTAGTCTAAAAGAGCCAGCTGTGCTGCTATCTAAGAAGTTCCGCTTTTTCCTTCCCGCACAACACTCTAACATCATGAGCTATTCAAAACATAATTCTAACTTCTCATTAGTTACAACTCCAGTGCAACAGGTAACAGCAAAATATTTCAATCCCACAGACCTAATATACATAGAGGCTTGTGCTAGCTTTGCTCTTCTTCACACCAAATACACTCCACAGCCTGTGAGGTACAATGTGAGCAGTAATTGCAAGCAAGACAAGGGAAAAGGTATACAGATTATTTAGACAGGATCCCAGGGTTCCAGGTGGTAAATACTTCAAACTCGTAGGCTTAAATTATCAAGTTGCACCCCATACTACATTGCTGTAATTTTATACATACTCACAATGCTATTAACAAAAATACTAGATAACAGACAGAGCAGTTTACACCAGATTTCTATAAAGATTTGTGACTTCCGTCATTAGCACTGGCTAGAAGGAGATAAAACCTTTGCCTACCTGCAGTGTTGGGGTAACTTCATCTTCCTTGTTCTCTCCACCTAGGTTTCTGCTGTGCTTGAAGTCCTCCTCACTCTCCTCCAAGGGCACGTGGCGCAGGACCTGGATGTAGTTCTCGAAGATCATCTCTGTGGAGAGCACGTCCTCGCTGAACCATACCATGCCGCAGCGACTCACAGTGGCCAGGGTGGCGTACTTCAGGTCCTGCACCTCAAACATGATGCGCACCTGACAGAGCAAAGAGAGAAAAGATGATAAATGTCTTACTCCCCCATCCACACAATTTGGATTATTTAACAGGTGGGCTGCTTCCAACCTGCCATTGAATGCCAATGTGGGCACAGTGGGATACAATTCTCCCGCAATAAGGAGACACTTGATAGAATTAAACTGTCTTAGGAGGGAACAGACACATCTATTGCATGCGACCATGAAAAACCTGACCATTAATGACAGATACAAGGACAAAAGAGAATATTAAGTTTTATAAAGAAGTCAGGATGAATGAATGAATGGGTTTTGTTTTGTTTTAGTAGAGGGTTTTACGGTGCTCGTATCTGCATAAGGTCATATGAGCCCCAAGGGGTGGGTGTCAACAGAGAAGTCCTTACAGGGAATCAGACTTACTCTGCTCACCTCTCCAGCTTAAACAGCACAAAGTCTGCTTCGACTATCAAGGCACCCCGGAAATAGTAGGTCACAAGAGTGTGACAAACATACCAAAGAAGTAGAGGTAAATGACAATAGTAAGGATTAGGAAAGAAAAAGCAGCAGTTCCCTGTTGTAGATCAGGCACAGTTATGAGCGTGGCATGATGAATCAGCCCATTTACAATTCTACTGTGCATGAACGAGAAATGTCCCCCCTTTGGGAATGGCCCAAAGACACTGCAGTCAGTGGCACTGAATGGGTAAAACACATATGCAAAAACTAAATTGATGACATTCAAATAAAATTTAAATCTGATGTCTGAGGTCATATGTGAATCTGAAATGTGAAATGCATACAAAACTTATTAGCAATCATTAAGCATTAAAATTTCAAAACATCTCAAAAGGATAGTTTTAACAAATCTGTTTTTAAAGTTCTTTTTGTATCATGAAATATTCTCCAAAAAAAGAATCATATTTAAAGACAGAAAACATAATTAGAAAATTTAATCACAACAGAAATATTCTCATCAAGAAGGATCTGTGTACCTCAGCACATGGTAGAAAAAATCTCATATCAATCTTAAACATGAACAACAACAAGGCTTCCTATGTCTGACCATAAACAAAAGCTTCAGACTTGACTCACATTTGGAGGAATGGCCAGACGTTCACCGTTAGGCAAGGTGAGCAGTTTGTTCTCATCAAGCACAGAGTTCAAGTTCTCCACCCACTGAGGATCCACATCTCCGTCAAAAATGATCCACTGACGTTTGCTGAGTTCACCACGAACATTGTCAATGATCCTTGAGGGAAAAATTATATTCATTAAGTCAAGTACTAAGATAACAAAATCAACTTGAAAACAGCCTTGTACAGGCATTTTTTACTGAAAAGAAAGAAAATTAAAGGTAACATTTATGAATTGTATGGAATCTTGAGCCGAAAAAAATGTTTTGTTGCTGACCTCTGACAGGTCTAACACTTGGCCCTCATTTATGACACATACTCCACAACTATCAACGCAAAACAAAACAGACATCTACGAGAGAACAACACACGGATTCTACCATGAAAAAAAACAACATAATACGAGAATCAATGAATGCCTCAGGCACCTACACTCGCATCTTCAGAATCTCCAGAAAAAGCAATGGAAATATTTATCTTCAGAAACATAAAAGAGCTGATTTTACTGGTATAAACATTCTACTCACTTTCTCACAACATGAGTGAACAGACCATCTGTCCATTCTCTTGTGTTTGGATCCAGGTTGCCATACAGTGCATCTTTGGAAATGGACTGAAAACACACACAAATCAATTGGTCAAAATGATGAATCAATGAGATTTTCATCAAGATCATCAACAACATGAAAGCTGGCAAATTGTCACTTAAGTGACAAGTCCACCTCCTGATCAAAATAAAATTTACAATGTAACAAGCAATGGCTGTCTATTGCTGGTGTTGAGAGGTACCAAATTTCAAATTTTAAGTGGCAATGAAAAGGCTAGGTAGAAAAAAAATAAAACCTAGTAAAACAAGAAAAATTAACCAACCTTTGGATCGATGACGTGAGCAACACCTTCGATACCCTCCAGTCTTTCCAGAGCTTTGAGCAGGACTTGCCAGGCCTTGGACTTGCCGCTTCCACTGGGTCCCACCATCATCAAACCGTGATGTAGCATGGTGATCTGGTGCAGTTGCAGAACCTAACAAGGAAAGCAAAAATTCTTAGACTCATAATCGTGACGTTGCGGGTTTGGGGATTTCAGGTTCAGGTGTGACTTTGTGTCCATAGGAAAGACACTTTGCACAAATTTTCTTCACTTCAGCATAAACGTGTGACTATCTGGCATAGGAAAGTCAAACTTGTGTGGCTTCCCCTGATGGCAGAACTCCATCTACAACCCAACTAAAAGACAACAGGAATTGGTAATTGTACCCTTTCAACACTGTAGTTCTCAATAAATGGGACCTCCAAATCTAATGTCCATCTCCAACAGAATAAATTAAGCAGGCAGATTCTTGAAAATTAAAAAACAATCCACAGTATAAAAATGCCACATTGGATATTTAAACTAGGACCGTTCACAAAACAACAACCCATGATACTATGCACACAAGCAGCAGTCTATAATAATAACAACACCCTATCTTCTGAACACAACTCAAATCAAACGAGAAATTTGGGGGAATATGCAACTAAGAAAAAAAGCAAATAAAACTGCATATCATTGTACTTACCTTCTCCACCCACTGGGTACCCAACTCATCACCCTCTCCATAGACCAGGTACAGCTCTCCACAAACTTTCCTGATCTCATTCCTCAGCGCAGTCATCTCAGCAGGGCTGTACTCCACGCCTGGGAACACATCGCTGAGCAAACTGTGGAGGAGGGGAATGTCCTCGGCCACCAGCTTGGGCACCATCGTCTCCATGACGCTCTGAATCAGAATCTATGGAAGGGAAAAATATGAAGGGTCAAAGGCTTCCAAGATGTACAGTCAGACACTTGGTGCATACAGAAAGGAAAATGATGTTATTTATAGAATTTCTTTTGGGGTTTGAACAATATTTCTATTTCAATAATAATCTGCAACATCTGTAGTTCACCAAAATAGTGCACAAACTTATTACAACACCCACAACTTTTCATCTTCAGTATCTGAAAATTCAGATACTATAATAATATAAAACTCACCTCCTGTTCTGGAATATTCTCAGCAATGGAAGCTTCATCCACGGGCTCTCCCCTATCGACCAGTCCCTGCTTGATGTACTGGATTCTGTCTCTCTTCACATTTCCGGCACTGACCAGGACACTCTTCAGGGCTCTCAGGCCAAAGTCGTAGTGAGATTGAGGGCTCAGCTGTTCATCACAGAGCCTGCAGGTAAAGCAAGGAAACAGAATTCAGGGTCATGTTTCACAGAGCACGGAAAAAAGCATGTTGCGGACATATTCATTCATACAACATCTAACTTGATACTGCAGTCTTTAGTCTTCTATCATACCAATTAATTCACAAAAAACAAACAGTCTAATAAGTACAAAGAAGTACCACACACATTCATTTGTCTGCACTACACTACACATATGGTCTTTTTTAATATAGAAAAGAAACAGATTTCAGACGTTTTTCTCAAAATGAATTTTCAAAACAAAATTACTACTACACAAGAGTATAAAATATACAGTCTATGAAATTACTTTACTGACGCCTGCACGAAGCCATGATAAATGAAAATCCAAAACGAAACTTAAATCTTTGTGTTGACAAAAAAGCACAACAAACTCAAAAATTAAGAAACATAATAATCACAAACATTACATTCCATTCAGTGTCAAAGTTTTAAATCACTGTAATCATACAGAACATTATCTTTCGCAATATCTTACTTGAAGAAGGGTACAATCTTGCTGGACAATTTCTCAGCTTGTCGGAAGCCCTGCGAGTACAGCATGACCTCTGCGATCAGCTGTCGGTCTGGTTTGGTCATGGCCAGAGAGCGGAACAGTTTCTTCAAGTTGTCCGGCAGGTTGGAGCGGCCAGCATAGCCAGGGTTCATGGTGATGAAGACGGCCATGTCAGGGTTTACCTTCACCTGTTTGCCAATCAGCTCCACAAGGATGGGGCCATTGTCTGAGGAAAAATAACATACAAACACACATAGTCTAACATGTACATAATGAATATGTACTTAGCTAAACAAAAACATAGTGAACATATTTTCAGGACAGGAATTTTTCTTCATACTTGTATATTCTTTGTACCTTAAACAAATGCACATAGCGAAATTTGTACATAACAAAAAGACTTCCGCATCCTACCAATTTCTCTATGTGTCTGCTGGACAAAACATTTATGCATCTGGATTTGTTAAGACGTATACATGTAAGAGATGAACAAAGAAGAGTGGAAAATAACAACGAGGGATCACCAATCATGAAAGAAGAAGTTATCAAGGCACTACGAAAGATGAAGAATGGGAAAGCTGCAGGACCGGACAACATTACCACAGAGATGATTAAAGCTTTAGAAGACTTTGGAATCACCACGCTGACAAAACTTCTTAACAACATATATGCCACTGAACATATTCCATCAGACTTGTCAAAATCTATCTTCATAGCTTTACCAAAGAAATCTAATGCAAACGAATGTGAAACGCATCGTACCATCAGCCTCATAACAAAAATATTACTCAGAATAATTATGATGAGAATACGAAGTAAAATTCTCCCAGAAATAGCCCAAGAACAGTGTGGATTTATTGAAGGTAAAGACACTGTAAATGCCATATATGTCATCAGAACAACGATAGAACGTGCCCTAGAAGTTCAGAAAGATCTTCATTTATGTTTTATAGACTACACCAAGGCATTCGACAAAGTTAGGCACGACAAGATCATCGACATGCTGGAAGTTCTTAATATCGACGGGAAAGACTTAAGGATTATCAAAAACATGTACTGGGATCAAACTGCTGCAATGAGAATAGAAAAAGACATCAGCGAATACATACAGATTAAAAGAGGAGTCAGACAGGGATGTGTACTTTCTCCAGACTTGTTCTCCCTGTATAGTGAAAATATCATGAGACACATAGAAAAAATGCCTGGTATCTCGATAGGGGGACATAATATAAACAATCTAAGATATGCAGATGACACAGTCCTTATAGCAGAAGATGAAGAACACCTGCAGAATCTATTAAACGTCATCGTACAAGAGAGTAACAACATGGGCTTAAGCCTAAACATCAAGAAAACCGAAACGATGGTGATAAGCAGAAAAACTCCAATCCCAACATGCAATATCAAAGTCAACGATACCACCCTTAAGCAAGTACAACATTTTAAATATTTGGGGACCATTATATCATCAGATGGTAGATGTCGCACCGAAATTAAAAGCCGCATTTGCCAAGCAAAAGCAACCTTCTACAAGATGAAACAGATACTAACAAACATCAATCTGTCACTGGAAACGAGGAAAAGAGTACTGAAAAGTTACATCGAGCCAATCCTATTATACGGGTGCGAAGCGTGGACAATCAATAAACAGCTGGAAAGAACAATTGTAGCGACAGAGTTGTGGTTCATAAGACGCATGCTACGTATCCCATGGACAGCTAGAAAAACAAATGAAGAAGTCCTGGTTGAAGCAAATTATAGAAAACAACTTATCACGAATATAAGAAAACGACAGGCAAATTTCTTCGGACACACAATGCGGAAAGAAGCATTAGAGAATATTGTCACAACAGGAAAGTTTGATGGAAAGAGAGGCAGATGCAGACAGAGGGAAAAGATACTGGACAAGATGACAACATGGTTGGGAGCAGCAAGGACAACAGACTCCATTGCTGCAGCGAAGGACAGGGTGAAGTGGAGGTCCATGATCGCCCACGCCAGTCGGCAAGGCACCGGATGATGATGATACATATAAACATAAACTTCAGTTGAAAGACAATTCAACACAAAACTGGAGTTGAGTTTGAACCATAAAGGTAATATTTTGCCAAAAAAATAGATTAGGGCAATAGACATATTGAAAAGAGGTGGATAAACACAGATCCCACCCTTATACCCACCTGTAAATTTGAACAGTATTTTTTTAGTTTAAAGAAATTTATCAAGCAATCCATTTTATACAAATCTTTCATGCATTCATATCAAGTTATCTTGGAGAAAGTTATATAGCAATGAAATAAACAAAAAGTATGGTTTACAAAATTTTCTAAAGACTACCTTGTCCCTTTTTGTCTGGAGCAGCAAGGTCTTTCAGAGCCTCTTGGATGGTCTGGATTTGCTGAGACACAGCAGACAGCATGCGCTCCTCCAGACGGTTGAACTCATCAAAGCATCCCCAGGCTCCCACTTGACACAGACCAACAAAGATACGACCCATGGCCTGGAATAAAAGAAGCACAAGTTTCAACACCAACTTATTTTCTTTGTACAAATAGTTCTCCGAATCACTTAGCAAATCATTAATTGCAAAATTTCAAATTCAAAACCTGTATTTTTTAAAGGTAATAGAGTTAAACCTTCATGTCCCAAAATTGTCACATACCACCGTAAGCATTTCACTGTACAGAATTACAAAGATTCAACAAGGTTGTGAAAACACAACTAAATTCCACCCCATCCTTCAAATTCAAACAGCTGTCTACAAAGCTATCAACTGTGAAACAAACATGCCCCC